CCTTTCTTCCAAGCTCCAAAACCAACAATGCAGTTTTCATCAAGGATCTCTCTGTACTTTGCTCCGTTCATCTTTCCCCCGATCCGCACTAGTCTCCCGGTCCCTGCCGCTGAAAAACAACTCCACAGCATGATGCTGCCACCACCATGCTTCACCGTAGGGATGGTGCCATGTTTCCTCCAGACATGACGCTTGGCATTCAGGCCAAAGAGTTCAATCTTGGTTTCATCAGACCAGAGAATCCTGTTTCTCATGGTCTGAGAGTCCTTTAGGTGCCTTTTGGCAAACTCCAAGCAGGCTGTCATGTGCCTTTTCCTGAGGAGTGGCTTCCGTCTGGCCACTCTACCATAAAGGCCTGATTGGTGAAGTGCTGCAGAGATGGTTGTCCTTCTGGAAGGTTCTCCCATCTCCACAGAGGAACTCTAGAGCCCTGTCAGAGTGACCATCGGGTTCTTGGTCACCTCCCTGACCAAGGCCCTTCTCCCCGATTGGTCAGTTTGGCCGGGCGGCCAGCTCTAAGAATATTCTTGGTGGTTCCAGACTTCTTCCATTTTAGAATGATGGAGGCCACTGTGTTCTTGGGGACCTTCAATGCTGCATACATTTTTTGGTACCCTTCCCCAGATCTGTGCCTCGACACTATCCTGTCTCAGAGCTCTACACAGACAATTCCTTTGACCTCATGGCTTGGTTTTTTCGCTGACATGCACTGTCAACTGTGGGACCTTATATAGACAGGTGTGTGCCTTTCCAAATCATATCCAATCAATTGAATTTACCACAGATGGACTCCAATCAAGTTGTAGAAAAATCTCAAGGATGATCAATGGAAACAGGATGCACATGAGCTCAATTTTGAGTCTCATAGCAAAGGGTCTGAATACTTATGTAAATAAGGTATTTCTAAAAACCTGTTTTCGCTTTGTCATTTTGGGGTAATGTGTGTAGTTTGCTGAGGATTTGTACATATTTATTCCATTTTAGAATAAAGTTGACGTGTACCTATGATGAAAATTACAGGCCTCTCTCATCTTTTTAAGTGGGAGAACTTGCACAATTGGTGGCTGACTAAATACTTTTTTCCCCCCACTGTTCAGAGAATCAAAAAATGTAGGATCATAATAAAGGCAATTTTCTTTCCATGATGGATCCATTTAATGAAAGTGATTCTACCTTCTTGGTCTTCACCTCTACCCAAGATGGTAATTTTGAAAAAATAAATGTTATATATATATATATATATATATATATATATACAGTGGGGGAAAAAAGTATTTAGTCAGCCACCAATTGTGCAAGTTCTCCAACTTAAAAAGATGAGAGAGGCCTGTAATTTTCATCATAGGTACACGTCAACTATGACAGACAAAATGAGACTTTTTTTTACAGAAAATCACATTGTAGAATTTTTAATGAATTTATTTGCAAATTATGGTGGAAAATAAGTATTTGGTCAATAACAAAAGTTTCTCAATACTTTGTTATATACCCTTTGTTGGCAATGACACAGGTCAAACGTTTTCTGTAAGTCTTCACAAGGTTTTCACACACTGTTGCTGGTATTTTGGCCCATTCCTCCATGCAGATCTCCTCTATAGCAGTGATGTTTTGGGGCTGTCGCTGGGCAACACAGACTTTCAACTCCCTCCAAAGATTTTCTATGGGGTTGAGATCTGGAGACTGGCTAGGCCACTCACGACCTTGAAATGCTTCTTACGAAGCCACTCCTTCGTTGCCCGGGCGGTGTGTTTGGGATCATTGTCATGCTGAAAGACCCAGCCACGTTTCATCTTCAATGCCCTTGCTGACGGAAGGAGGTTTTCACTCAAAATCTCACGATACATGGCCCCATTCATTCTTTCCTTTACATGGATCAGTCGTCCTGGTCCCTTTGCAGAAAAACTGCCCCAAAGCATGATGTTTCCACCCCCATGGTTCACAGTAGGTATGGTGTTCTTTGGATGCAACTCAGCATTCTTTGTCCTCCAAACACGACGAGTTGAGTTTTTACCAAAAAGTTATATTTTGGTTTCATCTGACAATATGACATTCTCCCAGTCCTCTTCTGCATCATCCAAATGCACTCTAGCAAACTTCAGACGGGCCTGGACATGTACTGGCTTAAGCAGGGGGACACGTTTGGCACTGCAGGATTTGAGTCCCTGGCGGCGTAGTGTGTTACTGATGGTAGGCTTTGTTACTTTGGTCCCAGCTCTCTGCAGGTCATTCACTAGGTCCCCCCGTGCGGTTCTGGGATTTTTGCTCACCGTTCTTGTGATCATTTTGTCCCCACGGGGTGAGATCTTGCGTGGAGCCTCAGATCGAGGGAGATTATCAGTGGTCTTGTATGTCTTCCATTTCCTAATAATTGCTCCCACAGTTGATTTCTTCAAACCAAGCTGCTTACCTATTGCAGATTCAGTCTTCCCAGCCTGGTGCAGGTCTACAATTTTGTTTCTGGTGTCCTTTGACAGCTCTTTGGTCTTGGCCATAGTGGAGTTTGGAGTGTGACTGTTTGAGGTTATGGACAGGTGTTTTTTATACTGATAACAAGTTCAAACAGGTGCCATTAATACAGGTAACGAGTGGAGGACAGAGGAGCCTCTTTAAAGAAGAAGTTACAGGTCTGTGAGAGCCAGAAATCTTGCTTGTTTGTAGGTGACCAAATACTTATTTTCCACCATAATTTGCAAATAAATTCATTAAAAATCCTACAATGTGATTTTCTGGATTTATTTCCCTCAATTTGTCTGTCATAGTTGACGTGTACCTATGATGAAAATTACAGGCCTCTCTCATCTTTTTAGTGGGAGAACTTGCACAATTGGTGGCTGACTAAATACTTTTTTCCCCCACTGTAGATAATAAAGCATTTGGCCTTTCCATTGTGTTAACGATGAAGGATTGGTTGATTTCCAGTTTTTAAGTATACGTTTTTTCAAGGTGATTGACGAGAAAAGTATCATCCAACCCATCGGGTATCTCACTGCCCCCTCATATGCCATATCTTGAAATATGCAGACAGACGGATTAATGGTACATTTACATTGTAATACTTCTGACAAGACAACTTTCCAACTCCGCCCACAACTCCCTGACTTTATAACCTTCCCAGAAGGCTTTATTGAGTCATTGTTAGTGAATTCTGTCTGGTGTAATAAATTCTATACATTAGAATTTACTGGATTAAGCGTCCATCTTCGTTAACTGTAATCTCGTTAGTTACGTTCCAACATTTCCTCCATCTTGTGCCAATATCAGTTATTTTTAAGTTTTGGTTCCAGTACGTTTATCTTTTTTTCTAAAGAGATCATCTTTTGGGTAGACTCTCTGCAAGATTTTGTATATTTTACCTATCATATGAATATTCATTTTTTTTTACTCAAATAGGGTTCCCTCAAGATTGCTCTGATGTCCAAAAGATTTCAAATCAAAAATGTTTTGATATGAAACTTTTAAGTTGCATGTATTTGAAAATATCTACATTGGTCAGTCCAAAATTGATTTTGGATTATTTAACGGAAAGACATTTATTTCCTATTACCAAGTCATTTACAGTTGCTATACCTTTAGTTTTCCATGTGGACCAATTTATCGTTGAATTCTGAAAAGCTATCCAAGGATTGTTCCATACGGTTGTGTTGTAAGGGGGTGATATTGGTTCTTGTAGAATACGTTTCATTTTCTTCCATATTGTTATGGCGTTCTTAACTATGAAGTTGTTAATGTTCTTAGCTTTATCCTTTGACAATAGACACGTAAAAATATTCTGGGGATGAGCACGTGCATCTTCAACATGTACCCATTGCTCCTCTTTACTGTATTTAAGTCTGGAAGGTTCAACTCACCCTCTGACTTAAGTGTAAAAGATGTAAAACTTTCCTTTTTATCCTATTAGTTCTTTTTGCCCATATAAAGTTTGTTACGACCGAGTATACTTTAAAAGAATGTCTTTGGTGGGGTAATTGGTATTACCTACAATACATATAAAACCTTTGGGAGCCATGCCATTCTGAAGAGGTTTTATTCTAACTAAGATTTATGGGAAGATTGATCCATTTAATTAGATCTGCTTTTATATTGTTGAGTAATGGGGTGAAGTTATCTTTATATATTTGTTGTTTGTTGGTCACTTATTAAGCATCCTGAGTATTTGATCGTTTCTGTGGTCAACTTAAAGGATGGCTGTAGATCAGGACTTATTATTTTTCCTCTCGCCATTATTTCGTTTTTTTCCCCACATTAATTCATATCTTGAAGATTTTAGAGTATTAAAATATTTCATTTCAGATAGATCCCCCCCCCCAAAAATCATAAATATCTATGGGCCAATCTCGTATAGAATTGCCCACTTACCGGATCGGAGCATCAGTGAAGCCCCGGACAGGATTGTGGTTGCTCCCTCCGATCTCAGCTCCACAGTCCACACAACGGCTCGTCTCCACGGGCCTGCCACACTAAGGTAGGGGTTAGAGAGGAGAGCAGGGGAACATGATTGACGGAAATGTAACTACAGTGATGATAGCCCACACTTCTAATCCAGAATCAACTAAATTCTACATACCTCACCAATGGCGCAAGGGTGACCATTCGGACAATCTGTAGAAGTGAGTAGAATTATTTTTTGGCAAGGAAAAATGGGGGGGGGGGGGGGGGGGGGGGGGGGGGGTTCTTCATGGGTTCATGGAACAAAAAACGCACCAAAAAAAAACTAGAATGCAAAAAGGTTTAATGAATAACAAATCTGTGGTGCCTGAGGTGCCTGAAGTGCCTGAAGAAGCCGATAACGCCAGTCATTTTGTTGCCCCTGTTTCTCTGGGACTTTTGAGTTTCGTAACATGCATTTACCCAATTATACCTTTTTTGCGTTCTAGTTTTAGTCGTTACTTGTTTTCTTATTGACTGAAACAGCACTTACTGTACCACCGCATCTGTCCAATGGCTTGGCGTGCAACTGCAAGCATATCCTCCGGCATGGTGGGTATGAAGGCTCTCTATTATTAACAGTAATAAATATTTTTCATTGAGTGATCTATGGTGAAGAACTGCAGACTATAGAGAGCAGAAGGGGAGCCCACCTGCATGTTGGTAGGGACCAGCACCAGCTGCTGGAGGGGCGTCAGTAGGCCCTGGTTCCCACAGAGCAGCACTGCAGACAAGTGGATGGCCAGCTCCACCACCACACGCTGGGCACCAGAGGCCCCAGCCTGGACGGTCAGGGGACCCAGTCGGTTGGCCACCAGGTCCAGGGCGAACTGCCTCACATTTGGGCTTGCAAGAACCGTTGAGGCCTGGATGAAATCCACCAGTGCTTGACAAAACTAGGAAATAAACCGGAACATTAAACAAAGATGCTGTATGTAGAGATAAGCCGTATATGAGATTACCTTTGCTCCATGGGCTCTTCTTACCTCAGAGTTCGGACGGAGGTTGTGATTGGCTGCTCTATAGAGACAGGTGACTTCTCTGAACAGAGCCAAAAGCAGGTACACTGTCCTCTTACTTTTTGGACACCTAGAACCCTACACACATACCGGACCAAATAAATAATGCTTACGCTTGTAAACAGAATAGAACAATTATTCAGACAAGTAAAATCACTGACTTCAATTTGCTATCTCTGTGAGCCGTTCAATACCTCACAAGCACGATCTATTTCCTTAATTTTGCCCTCCAGTATTGCTTTGGCAACCACATCTCGGATAGTCTTGTAGCCCTCTCCACACACAAGATACTGGTCAATCTGACTCCCATCTTGATTCTGAAAGACAATGAAATGAATGTGGGTGGATGATCTGAGTTCCCCCCCCATACGACATAAAGCACAGAGAATCGGAAAAGCTTTCTAGAAATTCAAATCAGTTAATTACACATGAACAATGTGTTATATAATCAGATGAACAGAGGGCTACCTACAAGGTTTATCTTCTTATAGGTAGATCGTTTATATTGTCACATACACCGGAGAGGTGCAGTGAAATGTGTTATTTTACAGGGTCAGCCATAGTAGTATGATAGGTCCAGTGAAATGTGTTATTTTACAGGGTCAGCCATAGTAGTATGATAGGTCCAGTGAAATGTGTTCTTTTACAGGGTCAGCCATAGTAGTATGATAGGTCCAGTGAAATGTGTTCTTTTACAGGGTCAGCCATAGTAGTATGATAGGTCCAGTGAAATGTGTTGTTTTACAGGGTCAGCCATAGTAGTATGATAGGTCCAGTGAAATGTGTTATTTTACAGGGTCAGCCATAGTAGTATGATAGCTCCAGTGAAATGTGTTATTTTACAGGGTCAGCCATAGTAGTATGATAGCTCCAGTGAAATGTGTTCTTTTACAGGGTCAGCCATAGTAGTATGATAGCTCCAGTGTAATGTGTTGTTTTACAGGGTCAGCCATAGTAGTATGATAGGTCCAGTGAAATGTGTTGTTTTACAGGGTCAGCCATAGTAGTATGATAGGTGCAGTGAAATGTGTTGTTTTACAGGGTCAGCCATAGTAGTAGGCGCCCCTGAATATAACCAGTACCTTCTGTAGGACCTCATCTGGGAACAGCCACTGCATATCTGCCACTGTCAGGAAGTTTTGGGCACACTCCACTCCGTGCTGGTTGCAGATCTTACGGATCAGGTAGACCCGATACCAGTCATTCCCACTGCGCTTACACAGTTCTTCCACGCTGGTCATGAATTCTTTCTCTGTTGGACCATAATGGGAGAAAAGTGCAACTTACTTGAAAATATAATGTAAATGATACCCAATGGCTGAATGAAAACTCTATAAACCAGATCAATGATACCCAATAGCTGAATGAAAAAAACTCTATATAAACCAGATCAATGATACCCAATGGCTGAATGAAAACTCTATAAACCAGATCAATGATGTAAATCCTCACTGTTTGTATACATCACCAAGCACCAGCCAACCTCTCATGATTCAATTGTTAATACCTTCTGTCACGTGAAATTTCAAAACAGATTGGGTAGAGTATGTGATCGCATTACATACACTTACAGTGTACACATTATTTGACTTAGTCTGCATAACCCTATACTCCCAAGGATTTTAGAAATAACTAGGTAATTACCAGGTCATCTCGGAGATCTACGGAAACCTTAGGAATTTAAACTTAGACTTTATCTGTGCGCCCCCGTTATCTATGAGTGACACGTAGACACGGGCTCATCAAGGGACAGATCCTAAAACAAGTTCACGTTTGTGCAGGTTGAGACAAAAAAAGATACCATAGGCAGCAGAAATGACTGGGTCTGAAAGAATGCTGGCCATGTCATTGACACTATAGACAGTAATGTATGTAGCTAGCATACATTAAACCAGTATACCATGCCTGGAGACAATAAAGAACTTTTGGGTTAACCGGTTACAAAAAAAAAAAAAACTACTAAATACAGCATTTGTTATTAATCGCGATGGTTACGTATTCTTTTGGAGAAAAACAATTTGAATTAAAGTACCTGTGGCAACCATCCGATGTCTGTCTACCAATAGATTCACGGCCATATCCAGACACATGCGTAACCTGGCCACCTGCTGGAAGCACTGTACAGTGGCCATCTGTCTACATGCAGCGCCTGAGCGCAGGAAGTCACGCAGGAAGTCACTCTCATCCTGTAGGCATTCCTGCTGCTCCACTGTTGTGCGACACTGCATCTTCTCATGCATGGAGTCCTGGGGGAACAACAGGGATGATATCAGACGATATCGGTAAAATAAGTGAGATTATGATTATTAAGATTAAGATTATTATTATTATTATGATTAAGCCACTATGGGCGACGTTATTCCTCGCGCTAAAAGCTAAAAGAACCTGAGCAATGACGGGTATTTTCGGGTTAATATACGCAATTTAACAGACGCTTTTATCCAAAGGGACTTCCAGTCATTTGTGCATTGGTTTTTATTAATGGGTGGCCCCAACAGGAATCAAAACCACGACCTGTGGCATTGCAAGCGCCAGGCTCTACCAACTGAGCCACACAGGACCTAATAATCCATTATATGTTACGCTTTGAACTGGGCTGATGTTGTTGCCTACTTGCCTTAAATACCAATGTGTTTCTTGCTGTGTATTGTATCGGAAAATAAGAACTTGAACTTGATTATCAGTTCAAAATGAACAGGTTTTTATTTGCATGCAAACATTGAGTAATTTATAGCACTGCAGTGGGGAAAAAAGTATTTAGTCAGCCACCAATTGTGCAAGTTCTCCCACTTAAAAATATGAGAGAGGCCTGTAATTTTCATCATAGGTACACGTCAACTATGACAGACAAATTGAGAATTTTTTTTCTCCAGAAAATCACATTGTAGGATTTTTAATGAATTTATTTGCAAATTATGGTGGAAAATAAGTATCTGGTCACCTACAAACAAGCAAGATTTCTGGCTCTCACAGACCTGTAACTTCTTCTTTAAGAGGCTCCTCTGTCCTCCACTCGTTACCTGTATTAATGGCACCTGTTTGAACTTGTTATCAGTATAAAAGACACCTGTCCACAACCTCAAACAGTCACACTCCAAACTCCACTATGGCCAAGACCAAAGAGCTGTCAAAGGACACCAGAAACAAAATTGTAGACCTGCACCAGGCTGGGAAGACTGAATCTGCAATAGGTAAGCAGCTTGGTTTGAAGAAATCAACTGTGGGAGCAATTATTAGGAAATGGAAGACATACAAGACCACTGATAATCTCCCTCGATCTGGGGCTCCACGCAAGATCTCACCCCGTGGGGTCAAAATGATCACAAGAACGGTGAGCAAAAATCCCAGAACCACACGGGGGGACCTAGTGAATGACCTGCAGAGAGCTGGGACCAAAGTAACAAAGCCTACCATCAGTAACCGCAGCCAGGGACTCAAATCCTGCGGTGCCAGACGTGTCCCCCTGCTTAAGCCAGTACATGTCCAGGCCCGTCTGAAGTTTGCTAGAGTGCATTTGGATGATCCAGAAGAGGATTGGGAGAATGTCATATGGTCAGATGAAACCAAAATATATAACTTTTTGGTAAAAACTCAACTCGTCGTGTTTGGAGGACAAAGAATGCTGAGTTGCATCCAAATAACACCATACCTACTGTGAAGCATGGGGGTGGAAACATCATGCTTTGGGGCAGTTTTTCTGCAAAGGGACCAGGACGACTGATCCGTGTAAAGGAAAGAATGAATGGGGCCATGTATCGTGAGATTTTGAGTGAAAACCTCCTTCCATCAGCAAGGACATTGAAGATGAAACGTGGCTGGGTCTTTCAGCATGACAATGATCCCAAACACACCGCCCGGGCAACGAAGGAGTGGCTTCGTAAGAAGCATTTCAAGGTCCTGGAGTGGCCTAGCCAGTCTCCAGATCTCAACCCCATAGAAAATCTTTGGAGGGAGTTGAAAGTCTGTGTTGCCCAGCAACAGCCCCAAAACATCACTTCTCTAGAGGAGATCTGCATGGAGGAATGGGCCAAAATACCAGCAACAGTGTGTGAAAACCTTGTGAAGACTTACAGAAAACGTTTGACCTGTGTCATTGCCAACAAAGGGTATATAACAAAGTATTGAGAAACTTTTGTTATTGACCAAATACTTATTTTCCACCATAATTTGCAAATAAATTCATTAAAAATCCTACAATGTGATTTTCTGGATTTTTTTCCCTCATTTTGTCTGTCATAGTTGACGTGTACCTATGATGAAAATTACAGGCCTCTCTCATCTTTTTAAGTGGGAGAACTTGCACAATTGGTGGCTGACTAAATACTTTTTTTCCCCACGTGTGTTGTTTGGTGAAATGCATCGACCTGGAACATATTTTAAGAATATTGCAATTTGGTGAGCTTCAACTTAAGGCACGAGAATAACTAATTCTCCTGTCCATTTCTGCTCCATTGAGCACATGCTTGTTTCACTTTCTTAAAGATCATGTTCTGTCAACCCTGTGTTTTCTGTTGAATTCTGTTTAGAAAATGTGTTTCGTTGCTATGTCGCTAGTGATCTATCGATCTGAAAAAAAAGCATGGTTCAAATGGGTTGGATTATCAGAGGTTAGTGGAGTGGTACTATGGGAATATCCATAAAAACAATTTAGTACCAAGTGCTGGATTAGAGAGGATAATGTAGAACAAAAAGATGTAGCTGCACATTGGTACATGCTCCTAAAGTATAGCTTAACTGGACAACGTTTCGTCCCCAAACTGGATCTTTGTCAGGACACACTCCTGCAAACGTACTTGGTTTGTCCTGTCAAAGACCCAGCTAGGGGTCAAAACATTGTCTGATTAAACTATACTATTTACAGTACCCGTCAACAGTTTGGACACACCTACTCATTCAAGGGTTTTTCTTTATTTTCACTATTTTCTACATTGTAGAATAATAGTGAAGACAATCAAACTATGAAATAACACATATGGAATCATGTAGTAACCAAAAAAGTGTTAAACAAATCAAAATATATTTTATATTTGAGATTCTTCAAATAGCCACCCTTTGCCTTGATGACAGCTTTGCACACTCTTGGCATTCTCTCAACCAGCTTCATGAGGTAGTCACCTGGAATGCATTTCAATTAACAGGTGTGCCTTGTTAAAAGTTAATTTGTGGAATTTCTTTCTTTCTTAATGCGTTTGAGCCAATCAGTTGTGTTGTGACAAGGTAGGGTTGGTATACAGAAGATGGCCCTATTTGGTAAAAGACCAAGTCCATTTTATGGCAAGAACAGCTCAAATAAGCAAAGAGAAACAACAGTCCATCATTACCTTAAGACATGAAGGTCAGTCAATGTGGAAAATTTGAACTTTGAACGTTTCTTCAAGTGCAGTCGCAAAAACCATCAAGCGCTATGATGAAACTGGCTCTCATAAGGATCGCCACAGGAATGGAAGACACAGAGTTACCTCTGCTGCAGAGGACAAGTTCATTAGAGTTAACTGCACCTCAGATTGCAGCCCAAATAAATGCTTCACATAGTGCTATTTTGTTAGTTTTTTCGCATTGTTTGTAACTTATTTTGTACATAAAGTTGCTGCTACGGTCTCTTATGACCCAAAGGAGCTTCTGGACATCAGAACAGCGATTACTCACCTCGCACTGGACAAAGATTTTTTCTTCAATGAGTCTGACGCGAAGGACATACTGCTTCCTGGAGACCAGGACCAAATCCCAGTAGTTCGTGTGACGAAAAGACGGAGATACAGAGGGCGAAGGTCGGGGTGCCTTGTGAGGATTCGTAGGCGAGTGAGTAAATCGCCACAACCATCGGATCTATTGGCCAACATGCAATCGCTGGAAAATAAACTGGATGATCTACGGTCGAGACTATCCTACCAACGGGACATTAAAAACTGTAATATCTTATGTTTCACGAGTCGTGGCTGAACAACGACACGGATAATATAGAGCTGGCTGGGTTTTCCGTGCATCGGCAGGACAGAGCAGCTATGTCTGGTAAGACGAGGGGCGGGGGTATGTGTCTATTTGTCAATAACAGCTGGTGCACGATGTCTAATATTAAAGAAGTCTCGAGGTATTGCTCGCCTGAGGTAGAGTACCTCATGATAAGCTGTAGACAATGACGAGACAGCCTACAGGGAGGAGGTGAGGGCTCTGGGAGTGTGGTGCCAGGAAAATAACCCCGCACTCAACGTCAACAAAACAAAGGAGATGATTGTGGACTTCATGAAACAGCAGATGGTGCACACCCCTATCCACATCGATGGGACCGCAGTGGAGAAGGTGGAAAGCTTCAAGTTCCTTGGCATACACATCACTGACAAACTGAAATGGTCCACCCACGCAGACAGTGTGGTGAAGAAGGCGCAACAGAGCCTCTTCAACCTCAGGAGGCTAAAGAAATTTGGCTTGGCACCTAAAACCCTCACAAACTTTTACAGATGCACAATTGAGAGCATCCTGTCCGGCTGTATCACTACCTGGTACAGCAACTGCACCACCCGCAACCACAGGGCTCTCCAGAGGGTGGTGCGGTCTGCACAACGCATTACCGGGGGCAAACTACCCGCCCTCTAGGACACCTACAGCAACTGACGTCACAGGAAGGCCAAAAAGATAATCAAGGACATCAACCACCCGAGCCACTGCCTGTTCACCCTGCTATCATCCAGAAGGCGAGGTCAGTACAGGTGCATCAAAGCTGGGACCGAGAGACTGAAAAACAGCTTCTATCTCAAGGCCATCAGACTGTTAAACAGCCATCACTAGCACATTAGAGGCTGCTGCCTATAGACATAGTCTAGAAATCACTGGCCACTTTAAGAAATGGAACACTAGCCACTTTAATAATGTTTACATATCTTGCATTACTCATCTCATATGTATATACTGTATTCTAGAATATTCTACTGTATCTTATTCCATGCCGCTCTGTCATTGCTTGTCCATTATTGTATATATTCTAAATTCATTTCTTACTTAGATTTGTGTGTATTGGGTATATGCTGTGAAATTGTTAGATATTACTTGTTAGATATTACTGCACTGTCGGAGCTAGAAGCACAAGCATTTCGCTACACCCGCAACAACATCTGCTAAACACATGTATGTGACCTATAAAATGTGATTTGATTTGATTAGACCACACTATCTACCAAGAGTTCTCATCTATATTATTCGTAGCCGTCTATTTACCACCACAAACCGATGCTGGCACTAAGACCGCACTCAACGAGCTGTATAAGGCCATAAGCAAACAAGAAAATGCTCATCCAGGAGTGGCGCTCCTAGTGGCCGGGGACTTTAATGCAGGCAAACTTAAATCCATTTTACCTCATTTCTACCAGCATGTCATATGTGCAACCAGAGGGGAAAAAAACTCTAGATCACCTTTACTCCACACACAAAGACGCATACAAAGCTCTCCATCGCCCTCCATTTGGCAAATCTGACCATAATTCTATCCTCCTGATTCCTGCTTACAAGCAAAAACTAAAGCAGGAAATACCAGTGACTCGCTCAATACGGAAATGGTCAGATGACGCGGATGCTACGCTAAAGGACTGTTTTGCTAGCACAGACTGTTTTGCTAGCACAGACTGGAATATGTTATGTGATTCATCCAATGGCATTGAGGAGTATACCACCTCAATCACTGGCTTCATCAATAAGTGCATCGAAGACGTCGTCCCCACAGTGACCGTACGTACATATCCCAACCAGAAGCCATGGATTACAGGCAACATCCGCACCGAGCTAAACGCTAGAGCTGCTGCTTTCAAGGAGCACTAATTTCAAGGGACACTAATCCGGACGCTTATAAGAAATCCTGCTATGCCTTCAGACGAACCATCAAACAGGCAAAGCTTCAATACAGGACTAAGATTGAATCCTACTACACCGGCTCTGACACTCGTCGGATGTGGCAGGGCTTTCAAACTATTACGGACTGCCCAGCCGCGAGCTGCCCAGTGACGCAAGCCTACCAGACGAGCTAAATGCCTTTTATGCTCGCTTCGAGGCAAGCAACACTGAAGCATGCATGAGAGCACCAGCTGTTCCGGACAACTGTATGATCATGCTCTCCGTAGCCGATGTGAGTAAGATCTTTAAACAGGTCAACATTTTTACAGACCGATTACCAGGGCGTGTACTCAGAGCATGCACGGACCAACTGGCAAGTGTCTTCACTGACATTTTCAACCTCTCCCTGACCGAGTCTGTAACACCTACATGTTTCAAGCAGACCACCATAGTCCCTGTGCACAAGAATGCGAAGGTTGCCTGCCTAAATAACTACCGCCCCTTAGCACTCACATAGTATGCCATGAAGTGCTTTGAAAGGCTGGTCATGGCTCACATCAATACCATCATCCCGGAAATCCTAGACCCACTCCAAATTGCATACCGCCCCAACAGATCCACAGATGATGCAATCTCAATCGCACTCCACACTGCCCTTTCCCACCTGGACAAAAGGAACACCTATGTCAGAATGCTATTCATTGACTACAGCTCAGCGTTCAACACCATAGTGCCCACAAAGCTCATCACTAAGCTAAGGGCCCTGGGACTAAACACCTCCCTCTGCAACTGGATCCTGGACTTCCTGACGGGCCGCCCCCAGGTGGTAAGAGTAGGTAACTACACATCTGGCACCCTGATCCTCAACACGGGGGCCCCTCAGGGGTGTGTGCTTAGTCCCCTCCTGTACTCTCTGTTCACCCACGACTGCGTGGCCACGCATGACTCCAACACCATCATTAAGTTTGCTGACGACACAACAGTGGTAGGCCTGATCACCGACAACGATGGACAGCCTATAGGGAGGAGGTCAGAGACCTGGCAGTGTGGTGCCAGGACAATGTTATGATGAGTTTCTCGGGTATTCAAGTAATCAAGGATGTAAGAATTTACTTAGACATTCTGTGGAGATTTTATACCAAGTATTTATTGGATCACGAGCTTGTGGGTTCATCTAACAAACGGACATAGCTCTGCCCTTTGTCAGTTGAACTGCCCACACACACAAATCTCACCTCCTTTATACTCTTGGTTATCCTTCCTTTCACATACATCTGGCAACCATCATAGGCACTACCTTTCTCTGTTGTTATTACCCTTTGCCCCAAGTCATTATATCCTGTCCATCAATCATACTACCATAAACATCACTAATCTTCTTCGACATAAGGAATGTAGACTTCATGGCCCCAAACCAACTACCTCGGTCCTCACAATACTATGCCCTAACATCACTACAGACAACAACCTCTCCCTCAATGCGAGCAAGACAAAGGAGATGATCGTGGACTACAGGAAAAGGAGGGCTGAACAGGCCCCCATTAACATCAACGGGACTATAGTGGAGCAGGTCGAGAGTTTCAAGTTCCTTGGTGTCCACATCACCAACAAACTATCACGGTCCAAACACACCAAGACAGTCGTGAAGAGGGCACGACAACACCTTTTCCCACTCAGGAGACTGGTATGGGAACTGCTCGGCATCCAACCGCAAGGCACTACAGAGGGTAGTGCGTACGGCCCAATACATCACTGGGGCCAAGCTTCCTGCCATCCAGGACCTATATACTAGGCGGTGTCAGAGGAAGGCCCAAAGAATTGTCAAACACTCCAGTCACCCAAGTCATAGAATGTTCTCTCTGCTACCTGCACGGCAAGCGGTATCGGAGCGCCAAGTCTAGGTCCAAAAGGCTCCTTAACAGCTTCTACCCCTAAGCCATACGACTGCTGAACAATTAATCAAATGGCCACCCAGACCATTTACATTGACCCCCCCCCCCCCCTTTTGTTTTTACACTGCTGCTACTCGCTGTTTATTATCTATGCATAGTCACTTTACCCCTACCTACATGTACAAATTACCTGGACTAACCTGTACCCCCCGCACATTGACTCGGTACCGGTACCCCTTGTATATAGCCTCGTTATTACCTGGACTAACCTGTGCCCCCGCACATTGACTCGGTACCGGTACCCCCTGTATATAGCCTCGTTATTACCTGGACTAACCTGTACCCCCGCACGTTGACTCGGTACCGGTACCCCCTGTATATAGCCTCGTTATTACCTGGACTAACCTGTGCCCCCGCACGTTGACTCGGTACCGGTACCCCCTGTATATAGCCTCGTTATTACCTGGACTAACCTGTGCCCCCGCACGTTGACTCGGTACCGGTACCCCCTGTATATAGCCTCGTTATTGTTATGTAATTTTATTGTGTTACTTTTTATTAAATTTTTTACTTTAGTTTATTTAGTAAATATTTTCTTAACTCTATTTCTTGAACTGCATTGTTGGTTAAGGGCTTGTAAGTAAGCATTTCACGGTAAGGTCTACACCTGTTGTATTCGGCGCATGTGACAAATAACATTTGATTTGATTTGAATTAGTTTTGTTTCTAAAGCGACTTTGAGGTTCTGATTGTAATGAAAAGCACTATATAAAATACATCTCTTATTCTTTATTTATAACCGGATTTAAACAATGTACTGTATTGCTCCTCCAGATTTGCGATGTAGTTGGTCTTATTGACCTTCCTAATTGCATAACACAGTTCATAATTAGCTGATTTGTATTATGCCAAAATTAAATGATTATGCCCAAGCATCTCGGCAAAGTGATTGCTTGAGAAATTGTGATTTTGCCCAAAAATTATATTGTGGTTTCTTTTTTGCACATTTTCATTAAAAAAACAATTATTGTAACATTTACATTTACGTCATTTAGCAGACGCTCTTATCCAGAGCGACTTACAGTTTTTTATTTTTTATTTTATTTTATTTTTTTATACTGCCCCCCCGTGGGAATCGAACCCACAACCCTGGCGTTGCAAACGCCATGCTCTATCAACTGAACTACATCCCTGCCGGCCATTCCCTCCCCTACCCTGGACAACGCTGGGCCAATTGTGCGCCGCCCATGAGTCTCCCGGTCGCGGCCGGCTGCGACGGAGCCTGGATTTGAACCAGGATCTCTAGTGGCACAGTTAGCACTGCGATGCAGTGCCTTAGACCACTGCGCCACTCAGGAAACACCTGAGTTGTAAGTGACTTCATCGTTATATGATTTGATGTAGAAGTTAAGACTGACCCTTTTTAAATAAAAACAACTTCTATTGCAAATTTAATGTGAAATTGTGTTCATACCTCCATGCAGTTTATGTATAAGGAATAAAGTTCTGTTTTTCTTGATTCCTCCAAGATATCACTCTGCTCAACTTCTGTCAGATGCTGCTGCAGGTGACCTTTGACATCATCAAAGCTTGAAGACAAGCACACAAAAAACTATTCAATAAACATTTTGGGGTATCTTGATAAACTTAACCCCATTAAATAAAAGAGTAGACAACCACCTGTAACTCACCTGTACTTAGTAACTCACCTGTACTTAATAACTCACCTGTACTTAATAACTCACCTGTACTTAATAACTCACCTGTACTTAGTAACTCACCTGTACTTAGTAACTCACCTGTACTTAGTAACTCACCTGTACTTAATAACTCACCTGTACTTAATAACTCACCTGTACTTAATAATTCACCTGTACTTAATAACTCACCTGTACTTAATAACTCACCTGTACTTAATAACTCACCTGTACTTAATAACTCACCTGTACTTAATAATTCACCTGTACTTAATAATTCACCTGTACTTAATAACTCACCTGTACTTAATAATTCACCTGTACTTAATAACTCACCTGTACTTAATAACTCACCTGTACTTAATAACTCACCTGTACTTAGTAACTCACCTGTACTTGAGCAGGAGTTTGAGCACTACTGACCAAACCATTGGACTTCTGTCCACATCAACACCAAAGGGAGAGATTGCCTTGGTTTGTCTGCGAAAAGGTCCTGGCCAAGAAAATGGTGGTAAGAAATAAAACACAAACTCACATTCCTATATCATGCTGATACAAGGTGTCAGACAGCAGGAGGGTACCTGTGATATTGAGGGCAGACTGAGCCTCCACCATGAGTAAGTTCAGCAGGTGGAAGAGCAGGAGGAGGAGTTTGATGAATAACAACCAAACCGAACCAATGAACCACTGGATGTTGTCCACAGACTGATCAAAGCGAGAGTGCCTCTGAATCTGTCTATGTTCTGGCCAAGACGGAAACAAAACACACACACACACACACACACACACACACACACACACACACACACACACACACACACACACACACACACACACACACACACACACACACACACACACATCAGATTCGAGAAACACTGAAGGGACACAATGGCCTGTCCAAAAACAAAGCCTTTCTGGGTTCGAAGATCTGATTAAATTTGTAGAATTTTTGCGATACTGTTTACACTTATCCCGTTCTTTCAAGATCCGCAATAAAACATTTTTTTTATAGAATTTAGGGGTTGTTTTTGCCCGGGACAATCCGAGGGTACCTCTGATGATAGGACTAGATTGAGCCTCCACTGTGAGGAAAGACAACAGGTGGAGGATGATGGTCGTACAGGGCGGAGAGTTGTCCTTGAAGCACACCATAGAGACTAGGTCAATAAAGAAAGCACTGCACTTCTTCTTGAACTGCTTGGCATTCCTGCAAAATAAAACAATGAAAAAAAGACAGGGTTGTCCCAATTTCCATTTCAGTTCAGGATAAACCGAAAGTCCAAGTCGTGAAGAGCGCCATTTTTCATTTTTTAAACTGGTACTTCAATTCTGAATTACCTTATTGATGTCAGCAATAGCCACTCGCCCATTATCAAGCTAAATCTGTGTTAGCCAATGTGTGCTAGCGCCAGAGAATCTTGAAAATCAATTGAATTACTAAGATGTACATAAGAACATTCCACTCTCCCATAGACTTCTGTCTAAATCTACCTTGCACAGCACTCACAGGATTTACAGGAAGTAATCGGATTGCTTGATTAATCTTGACTTTCAAGCTTCTCTTGACGCTACCACACAGTGATTTGCATGGATATAGCGTGATAATTGGCGTTATGGTAATGAATTTAGAATTGTCAACGGTAAATCAAGCAGAATTTGACTAGCTGAAATGTAACCTTAATGATTTAATAAATCAACATGAGTGTCCCCACCATCTGTTTTCAACTGCTTCTTCTCTGCAGGCCTTAAGTATATTGAGCACTTCCTCAAACGCCTGCTTAATTTTAAGGTCTGCATCCCTCTCCAGTACCTTTAATTAATTAAAGAGTAGAAAAATGCAATTTTTTGTGTTATACAACTTCACTACATTAGATGAAATATAACAGAGGAGGAGATAAGATGAATCTCACGTGACATAACCGTCGCACGGACGCTAAAACCAAAGGCTTCAGCCTCTTGTCCACTTTCTCGACACCCAGCAACAGGTGCTCCACAAATAGAGACAGGACAAAGATGCGGTTCCATCTGCTCCTACAGGGACCATGAAAGAACAACTCATGTCGTAGCAGCAACTAAGGAATTGAATGTACATGTACTGTAATGTGACTTTTTACATGTACGGAACAGTAGTTAACAGTTACTTATATCAATAGTATAAATGCAATAGGTAGGTAGGTTTACATGTTTGTGTACAGCATAATGTCCTATGGGATTAAATATAATACATATTTTAAATATAATATAAATACTGTATTTACATTTACGTCATTTAGCAGACGCTCTTATCCAGAGCGACTTACAAATTGTATTTCAAATGTATAGTAGGTCTAGTGTGTCATTCTCACTGTTAATCCTGTTTGTAATGTGTAATAATGGATATGATGTGTTGTTTGTGTCATTTATCTAAGGGCAAATGTTTCATCTTCGGATGGACAATCGTTAATTATATTCTAATCCCATTGAACTCACTGGACTCTGCAGACCATGGACTTGCTTCTCTCCCCACAGTGCCTACGACTCTCCTCAGAGCAGACCAGCTCTATGGGCACCTGGAGCCTCTTGACCTGCCTGAGCCAGTCAAGCCGCTGGGCGTCTGTGTCCAGAGCCTGGGGCTCCAGGTATTCCACGCAGGCCATTGCCGCGTACACATCGAGGACCTGGGGAGCAGTGAGGGATAGAGGATAGTGTTGAAAAAAAAAAAAAAAACACCCTTGAGATATACTTGCATAAACTCACAACATCATGTTCATTATTTGAGCAACTATTGATGTCCTTTATGCAAACATTGACCGTGAAGAATAAGAGTTGCATATGCAAAGAGACAGGCTTTTTTTTCTCTCTTACTTTTCCGTACATTTATATCAATTGGGCCCTTTTTCTTTTTACGCAAGGATTTACACCCAACTACTCACCAGCTCCATCCCCTCTCTGGTTTGTGTGTTCTCCAGGAGGCCCTGGCCCACTCGGGGGATGCTGATCATTCTGGAGAAGTTCTGTAAGCGGTTCTTAAACTCGCTGTAGGCAGCATGGACCCAGGGCAGAGAGGTCACCTCCGTCCAAACAGCATCATGACGTAGTCGGAGCTCGTTCACACAACAGGTCAAGGCGCCACAAAGGAGCTACATTGTTGCGCGCGCACACAACACACACACACACACACACACACACACACACACACACACACACACACCTCAAGATATTACACATCCCACTGACAACCTGGAATGAACTTTGGAAAAATAATCATCAGTGCTAAATCATGGCCTCCACTCCAAAAAATTATAAATATATACAGTGGGGAGAACAAGTATTTGATACACTGCCGATTTTGCAGGTTTTCCTATTTACAAAGCATGTAGAGGTCTGTAATTTTTATCATAGGTACACTTCAACTGTGAGAGACGGAATCTAAAACAAAAATCCAGAAAATCACATTGTATGATTTTTAAGTAATTAATTTGCATTTTAGTGCATGACATAAGTATTTGATCACCTACCAACCAGTAAGAATTCCGGCTCTCACAGACCTGTTAGTTTTTCTTTAAGAAGCCCTCCTGTTCTCCACTCATTACCTGTATTAACTGCACCTGTTTGAACTCGTTACCTGTATAAAAGACACCTGTCCACACACTCAATCAAACAGACTCCAACCTCTCCACAATGGCCAAGACCAGAGAGCTGTGTAAGGACATCAGGGTTAAAATTGTAGACCTGCAAAAGGCTGGGATGGGCTACAGGACAATAGGCAAGCAGCTTGGTGAGAAGGCAACAACTGTTGGCGCAATTATTAGAAAATGGAAGAAGTTCAAGATGACGGTCAATCAACCTCGGTCTGGGGCATCAAGATCTCACCTCGTGGGGCATCAATGATCATGAGGAAGGTGAGGGATCAGCCCAGAACTACACGGCAGGACCTGGTCAATGACCTGAAGAGAGCTGGGACCACAGTCTCAAAGAAAACCATTAGTAACACACTACGCCGTCATGGATTAAAATCCTGCAGCGCACGCAAGGTCCCCCTGCTCAAGCCAGCGCATGTCCAGGCCCGTCTGAAGTTTGCCAATGACCATCTGGATGATCCAGAGGAGGAATGGGAGAAGGTCATGTAGTCTGATGAGACAAAAATAGAGCTTTTTGGTCTAAACTCCACTCGCCGTGTTTGGAGGAAGAAGAAGGATGAGTACAACCCCAAGAACACCATCCCAACCGTGAAGCATGGGAGGTGGAAACATCATTCTTTGGGGATGCTTTTCTGCAAAGGGGACAGGACAGCTGCACCGTATTGAGGGGAGGATGGATGGGGCCATGTATCGCGAGATCTTGGCCAACAACCTCCTTCCCTCAGTAAGAGCATTGAAGATGGGTCGTGGCTGGGTCTTCCAGCATGACAACGACCCGAAACACACAGCCAGGGCAACTAAGGAGTGGCTCCGTAAGAAGCATCTCAAGGTCCTGGAGTGGTCTAGCCAGTCTCCAGACCTGAACCCAATAGAAAATCTTTGGAGGGAGCTGAAAGTCCGTATTGCCCAGCAACAGCCCCAAAACATCACTGCTCTAGAGGAGATCTGCATGGAGGAATGGGCCAAAATACCAGCAACAGTTTGTGAAAACCTTGTGAAGACTTACAGAAAACGTTTGACCTGTGTCATTGCCAACAAAGGGTATATAACAAAGTATTGAGAAACTTTTGTTATTGACCAAATACTTATTTTCCACCATAATTTGCAAATAAATTCATAAAAAATCCTACAATGTGATTTTCTGGATTTTTTTCCCTCATTTTGTCTGTCATAGTTGACGTGTACCTATGATGAAAATTACAGGCCTCTCTCATCTTTTTAAGTGGGAGAACTTGCACAATTGGTGGCTGACTAAATACTTTTTTCCCCCACTGTATATGTCATTGCATGGGGCCCCCATTCACTTTGGTATACCTTTTAGGTCACTCCAACACAGCATAAACAATGACAACATTTGTAGAATTTCAGGAAACTAGCTTTAAAACTGTAAAATGTCCCCCACCCCACCCCACAACCTCACCCCCTCCCTCTACGCTAACTTTGCCACCCGCTGCTGAAAAAGATCATAGGGGAAACGCTGACTCATGGTGAAAGTGAAAAAAAGAAAAAAAATCAAACCTGTTTGTCCTCTTCACAAGTCACATTCATGGTCATGGTAATGAAATCCTGCAGGTATCTGTGGAAAAGCTCTGTCTGCATCTCCTTGTCCGCCGTTGCAATGTAGCGGCCCAGAGGAGTCTTCCCGAAAAACACCTCAAACTGCCTCTGAGTTTGGCCTGTCAAAACGATAGGGAAACAAAATAACTGTGACAGTGCAATACATAGGTTACACTATGACCCCCCCCCCCGGATATGTTATGATCTACTACCTTCATGTTGTAGAGCATAAATCCAAAGTTCATCCAGGTAGTCCTTGATCTTCCAGCTGAAGGGCATGATACAGCTGATATTCTTGTCTATTGGGATGTTATTCTGGACCAGGATGGTCTTAGACGCAGAACTGGGACAAGGGGAGGGTGATTTACAATGGAATTAAATAATACGCAGGGCAGGGAGTCATTTCCAAAAATAGTCGATTCCCCGATTCCTAACAGTAGTGGGAATCAGAATCGACTCCTTCACGAGGAATCGATAATTTTTCAAGAAATTCATTCCTGCCACTTTAAAAATGGTACTTTCCATCAAATTTCAGGTTTTGTGATTATTATAATAATTTTTTTGTTGGTTTTGTGCAATTTTGATGATGGCATATGCTTTAGGTAGAAATTGTATATCTTCAATCCAAATGTGAATAGCTTTTGCTATAAATAACAAATACATATTATTATACTTGTGTGAACGTGTTTGTACCTCTTGGAATCGATTTCCAAATCCAGGAACATAGAATCGCTTAAATATTTCTGGATATTAACAACCCTAAGAATAGGGTACTGACTTGGTGCCAGTCTGAATCTGTTTTAGCAGGAATAGAACAAGCAGAGAGGCTAATGCACTGTGTCATGCATTCCAGAGTTGGGATCAATTCCATTTCAATTCAGAAAGTAAACCAAATTCCAATTCAAAACTTTCCTCATTACTATCACCACAATGGGAACGAGAAGGAATGCGCATGCTCGCACACGGAAAACATATCGCTCGAGTTCAACAAAATGGGAATATAACGTTTCGGATAAAGTTAGGAATGACACAATTTCATGTGTACAACATCTAAAAAGACCTGCATCACTATACTGAGAGTGTTGCGGTTTCTAAAAGGACATATTTTGGTGTTTTAGGAGCCTTTTAGCCCCCATACTGCAAAACAAGCCTGAGGAAGTCTATCGCTGGTGGGGTAAGTTTCTCAAAATCAAGTGATATTTTATTTTTAAGTGTCTGGACACCTGGTAAAAATAATATAAAAATTACAGTACCAGTCAAACCTTTGGACACACCTACTCATTCAAGGGTTTTTCTTTATTTTTTACTATTTTCTACATTGTAGAATAATAGTGAAGACATCAAAACTATGAAATAACACATATGGAATCATGTAGTAACCAAAAAAAGTGTTAAACAAATCAAATGTATATTTATATTTCATTCTTCAAAGTAGCCAACTTTTGCCTTGATGACAGCTTTGCATACTCCTGGCATTCTCTCAACCAGCTTCACCTGGAATGCTTTTCCAATAGTTTTGAAGGAGTTCCCACATATGCTGAGCACTTGTTGGCTGCTTTTCCTTCAATCTGCGGTCCAACTTATCCCAAACCATCTCAATTAGGTTGAGGTCGGGTGATTGTGGAGGCCAGGTAATCTGATGCAGCACTCCATCACTCTCCTTCTTGGTCAAATAGCCCTTACACAGCCTAGAGGTATGTTGGGTCATTGTCCTGTTGAAAAAGAAATGATAGTCCCACTAAGCCCAAACCAGATGGGATGGCGTATCGCTGCAGAATGCTGTGGTAGCCATGCTAGTTAAGTGTGCCTTGAATTCTAAATAAATCACAAACAAGGTCACCAGCAAAGCACTCCCACATCATCACACCTCCTCCTCCATTCTTCACGGTGGGAACTACACATGCGGAGATCATCCGTTCATCTACACTGCGTCTCACAAAGACACGGCGGTTGGAACCAAAAATCTCCAATTTGGACTCCAGACCAAAGGACACATTTCCACCGGTCTAATGTCCATTGCTTCTGATTCTTGGCCCAAGCAAGTCTCTTCTTATTATTGGTGTCCTTTAGTAGTGGGTTCTTTGCAGCAATTCAACCATGAAGGCCTGATTCACGCAGTCTCCTCTGAACAGTTGATGTTGAGATGTGTCTGTTACTTGAACTCTGTGAAGCATTTATTTGGCCTGCAATTTCTGAGGCTGGTAACTAATGAACTTATCCTCTGCAGCAGAGGTAACTCTGGGTCTTCCTTTCCTGTGGCGGTCATCACGAGAGCCAGTTTCATCATAGCGCTTGATGGTTTTTGCGACTGCACTTTCAAAGTTCTTGAAATGTTCCGTATTGCTGACCTTCATGTCTTAACGTAATGATGGACTGTTGTTTCTCTTTGCTTATTTGAGCTGTTCTTGCCATAATATGGACTTGGTCTTTTACCAAATAGGGCTATCTTCTGTACACCAACCCTACCTTGTCACAACACAACTGATTGGCTCAAACACATTAAGAAGGAAAGAAATTCCACAAATGTACAAGGAACACCTGTTAATTGAAATGCATTCCAGGTGACTACCTCATGAAGCTGGTTGAGAGAATGCCAAGAGTGTGAAAAGCTGTCATCAAGGAAAAGGGTACTACTTTGAAGAATCTCAAATATAAAACATATTTAGATTTGTTTAACACTTTTTTGGTTACTACATGATTCCACATGTGTTATTTCATAGTTTTGATGTCTTCACTATTATTCTACAATGTAGAAAATAGTAAAAAATAAAGAAAAACCCTTGAATGAGTAGGTGTTCTAAAACTTTTGACCGGTACTGTAGGTTATAGACCAGCCATGGTGAGTAAATGAATACAAATAGCCAATATACTGTATAGAGGATGTAGGATGAGCTAAATAAACATTTATAAGTAGCTGAGCAGAGACAGACACTCACACAAGATTTGGTTCTGGGTGCCGAGACGAAGAACATACTGATTAATGTGATTAATACGTCTTCCAATTCACATTGTTTTTCGAAAATGTAAATAAAAATGTAAAATCTTCACACTGAATAAGACCATACAGAAGACAAATAAATGGTCCTTATCACTGAGGCCACTTACTTGTTGTCCACACTAGCACAGGGAAAGACTTACTTGTTGTCCACACTAGCACAGGGAAAGACTTACTTGTTGTCCACACTAGCACAGGGAAAGACTTACTTGTTGTCCACACTAGCACAGGGAAAGACTTACTTGTTGTCCACACTAGCACAGGGAAAGACTTACTTGTTGTCCACACTAGCACAGGGAAAGACTTACTTGTTGTCCACACTAGCACAGGGAAAGACTTACTTGTTGTCCACACTAGCACAGGGAAAGACTTACTTGTTGTCCACACTAGCACAGCACCAGGGAATAAAGACTTACTTGTTGTCCACACTAGCACAGGGAAAGACTTACTTGTTGTCCACACTAGCCAGGGGGAAAGACTTACTTGTTGTCCACACTAGCACGGAAAGACTTACTTGTTGTCCACACTAGCACAGGGAAAGACTACTTGTTGGTCCCACACTAGCACAGGGAAAGACTTACTTGTTGTCCACACTAGCACAGGGAAAAGACTTACTTGTTGTCCACACTAGCACAGGGAAAGACTTACTTGTTGTCCACACTAGCACAGGGAAAGACTTACTTGTTGTCCCCACTAGCACAGGGAAAGACTTAACTTGTTGTCCACACTAGCACGGGGAAAGACTTACTTGGTTGTCCCCACTAGCACAGGAAATACTTACTTGTTGTCCACACTAGCACAGGGAAAGACTTACTTGTTGTCCACACTAGCACAGGGAAAGACTTACTTGTTGTCCACACTAGCACAGGGAAAGACTTACTTGTTGTCCACACTAGCACAGGGAAAGACTTACTTGTTGTCCACACTAGCACAGGGAAAGACTTACTTGTTGTCCACACTAGCACAGGGAAAGACTTACTTGTTGTCCACACTAGCACAGGGAAAGACTTACTTGTTGTCCACACTAGCACAGGGAAAGGGGACATCAAGTAGTTTGTCATCCCCAAAGATGTCTAACCACAATTTTTTGATTGGCTCTCCAGAGTTGGTGTCCAGCAGGAGGTCTAGATTACCATCACGGTCAATGACAGAGACCAGCTGTGCCAAAAGTGGAATGACCACCGTCTGAACTCGCTTCCATAGGGTTTGTCTGTTAAAGCACAAAACTAGCTTAGTAGGCCACTGAGTAACAGCTACATTGTGTTATTCTAGTCTAGAAAATTGTTTTCCCCAGTAAATACATTTTACATTTTAGTCATTTAGCAGACGCTCTTATCCAGAGCGACTTACAGTTAGTGAATACATATTTTTTTATACTGGCCCCCCTGTGGGAATCGAACCCACAACCCTGGCGTTGCAAACGCCATGCTCTATCAACTGAGCTACATCCCTGCCGGCCATTCCCTCCCCTACCCTGGACGACGCTGGGCCAATTGCGCGCCGCCCCATGGGTCTCCCGGTCGCGGCCGGCTGCGACAGAGCCTGGATTCGAACCGGGATCTCTAGTGGCACAGTTAGCACTGCGATGTAGTGCCTTAGACCACTGCGCCACTCGGGAGATAATATTTATACATCTTTCACAAGCACGACAAGCATATGGATGGGGTTTGTCTCTCAATTCACTGGTGAATAGTGCTCACTCACCTAAATGTCCCCCCCTCATGCAAAGCATCAATGTTGGAAGCCTCAGTAATGACCCAGTTTTTTGTTAAGGTAGTGTTTTTTTCCCGGGTTGCCAGTAAGGAGTGCAGACGTCTCTTTAGAATTCTCAGAAATTCAGCTGTTCGTAAACATGAATAGAAAGAGTTGGATTCATGTGAATGGATTGCATTACTACAACTATGGAATAGAAAGAGTTGGATTCATGTGAATGGATTGCATTACTACAACTGTGGAATAGAAAGAGTTGGATTCATGTGAATGGATTGCATTACTACAACTATGGAATAGAAAGAGTTGGATTCATGTGAATGGATTGCATTACTACAACTATGGAATAGAAAGAGTTGGATTCATGTGAATGGATTGCATACTACAACTATGGAATAGAAAGAGTTGGATTCATGTGAATGGATTGCATTACTACAACTATGGAATAGAAAGAGTTGGATTCATGTGAATGGATTGCATTACTACAACTATGGAATAGAAAGAGTTGGATTCATGTGAATGGATTGCATTACTACAACTGGAATAGAAAGAGTTGGATTCATGTGAATGGATTGCATTACTACAACTATGGAATAGAAAGAGTTGGATTCATGTGAATGGATTGCATTACTACAACTATGGAATAGAAAGAGTTGGATTCATGTGAATGGATTGCATTACTACAACTATGGAATAGAAAGAGTTGGATTCATGTGAATGGATTGCATTACTACAACTGTGGAATAGAAAGAGTTGGATTCATGTGAATGGATTGCATTACTACAACTATGGAATAGAAAGAGTTGGATTCATGTGAATGGATTGCATTACTACAACTATGGAATAGAAAGAGTTGGATTCATGTGAATGGATTGCATTACTACAACTGTGGAATAGAAAGAGTTGGATTCATGTGAATGGATTGCATTACTACAACTATGGAATAGAAATAGTTGGATTCATGTGAATGGATTGCATTACTACAACTATGGAATAGAAAGAGTTGGATTCATGTGAATGGATTGCATTACTACAACTATGGAATAGAAAGAGTTGGATTCATGTGAATGGATTGCATTACTACAACTGTGGAATAGAAAGAGTTGGATTCATGTGAATGGATTGCATTACTACAACTATGGAATAGAAAGAGTTGGATTCATGTGAATGGATTGCATTACTACAACTATGGAATAGAAAGAGTTGGATTCATGTGAATGGATTGCATTACTACAACTATGGAATAGAAAGAGTTGGATTCATGTGAATGGATTGCATTACTACAACTATGGAATAGAAAGAGTTGGATTCATGTGAATGGATTGCATTACTACAACTATGGAATAGAAAGAGTTGGATTCATGTGAATGGATTGCATTACTACAACTGTGGAATAGAAAGAGTTGGATTCATGTGAATGGATTGCATTACTACAACTATGGAATAGAAAGAGTTGGATTCATGTGAATGGATTGCATTACTACAACTATGGAATAGAAAGAGTTGGATTCATGTGAATGGATTGCATTACTACAACTATGGAATAGAAAGAGTTGGATTCATGTGAATGGATTGCATTACTACAACTGTGGAATAGAAAGAGTTGGATTCATGTGAATGGATTGCATTACTACAACTATGGAATAGAAAGAGTTGGATTCATGTGAATGGATTGCATTACTACAACTATGGAATAGAAAGAGTTGGATTCATGTGAATGGATTGCATTACTACAACTATGGAATAGAAAGAGTTGGATTCATGTGAATGGATTGCATTACTACAACTGTGGAATAGAAAGAGTTGGATTCATGTGAATGGATTGCATTACTACAACTATGGAATAGAAAGAGTTGGATTCATGTGAATGGATTGCATTACTACAACTATGGAATAGAAAGAGTTGGATTCATGTGAATGGATTGCATTACTACAACTATGGAATAGAAAGAGTTGGATTCATGTGAATGGATTGCATTACTACAACTATGGAATAGAAAGAGTTGGATTCATGTGAATGGATTGCATTACTACAACTGTGGAATAACTGTCGCTCAACCTTACTTCCTCTTATTTCGTCGTTGTCAGTCAGGAGAGTCAGCAGGATCTCAACTCTCCTGATGTTGCGGAACCCACCATCCATCTGGTCTCGGAGCATGCCCACCGCGCTCTGAACGCAGCTACGCACAAGCAGCGTAGTGTCCAGGACATCCTCCCAGCACTGCAGAAGGTAGAGAGCCCAAGGAACATGAAGGTGCTCCAAAAAAAAACAAAAAAAACAAAGACATGTAATGCATGATCTATCAAATTGCAGATGAATTTGGATATTACTCACTGTTTGGTCTTCAAGTTGATCTGTCCCAGAATACATGTCATCCAAACCTGCCCACAATATTAGAACATTTGTGTAATTGTAGGTCAACATATAAACTTTTTAGGGGTAGTGTTCAGATTTCAGTTAGTCCTTCCTGACATGGGATGTACATCATGTAATTATACGTTGTCTACTTTGCTCTTCTTCCATGAGCAGTCGTCACAACGTGCTTTACGGAAACCCAGCCTAAAACCCTAAAGAACAACCAATGCAGATGCAGAAGCACAGAGGCTAGGGAAAAACTCCCTAGAAAGGCAGGAACCTAGTAAGAAAACCTAGAGAGGAACCAGGTTCTGAGGGGTGGCCAGTCCTCTTCTGGCTGTGCTGGATGGAGATTTAAGAGTACATGTGGCCATAAAGGCCTTGTCTTTATTCAACACATTCAAGACGTTCAGCGATGACCAGCAGGGTCAGATAATAACCATTACCTGACCCTGCTATAGAGGATGCAACAGGTCAGCACCTCAGGAGTCAATGAGTACGTTTACATGCACACAAATAATTCCATATTAAACTGTTTATGGCAGTAGGCAGATTATGCAACAGTCATGTGAACACCTTATCTTAATTGGTGTAAGGTCAAAATCTAAGTAAGCATATGCCGATTTAAAACACCTGGTTTTCTGAGCAGTCTTCATTGGTTTTCCAGCGGTGTGTTTGATCTGCTCATGTGCTAGCACCAGCCGAGAGCCTCCCTTCGGAACAACTGAATGTATGAGTCTTAGAAGTAGTTTTCACATACAAACTTTATATGTCCGATTTCAGATGTGTTCATGTAGACAATATTATTAGGGGAATCGTTCATTCTTGCAAAGCATGTAAACGTTTTAAAACTATTATATTAATCTGACTATCCACAATAATCGCATTATTGTGTGCATGTAACCGTACTCAATGTCAGTAGGCTTTTCATAGCCAGGCATTTACATAAAATCACACACAGCTTTTGTTACCTTGAGGCTGAGCCTGCCTTTCCTCAAACAGTTGACAGATGGCAAGGTTTCGCAAGACTCTGATATCTGACACAATATCTTTGGATCTTCTGAGGTCATCAATATGAACTGACCTCCAGGGACCTATTGCAGAAAATGACCAATAGAATTTTATTGACACTTTCCGATTCCATGTTATAAATTGCAAATGTTATGTCAACAGGCTTTAAAGCTGCATGTAGAAGATCAAATCAAATGTTATTGGTCACATACACATATTTAGCAGATGTTATTGCGGGTGTAGCGAAATACTTGTATCTCACCTCCATGAAATCCAACAAAGGAAGTCCCACTCTCCGACCTTAACAGTTTGGTGATGAAGTAGACCAACACCTTGCCTTCAATCTCCTCTTGTTCTGATTTGTTGATTTCATTTATGGCAGAGTACCTGAAAACAATGAAACATGTTTCTCAGATAGTATCTCATTTAGTCACAGATATTTATGAAATTAGATTGACCTTAGTTTTCATTTAGTAAGCAGATATTTATGAAATTAGATTCACTTTACTTTGCAGACGCAATGACACTTGCATTGTGGGATGCTTCATCCAAATCTGACTGAATAATGAGTAGTTTATTGCTTGATGCATTTCCAGGCGTCAGAAATTCCCTAGATTAAAAAAAATATATATTTTTTCAATCTGTCCAAATAACTGGGGGGGGGACAGACAAAATATATGATGTACAGGCTAAAACATTTAAAATAAATAAACCTGATCTTCTTGCGGAAAGAGAGCTCTGTGTCAAACTGCTGCAGTGACAGAAGCTCTACATTGTGTACCACCTCCTTCAGCGGTCCAATATCCGATTCTGTCAACAGTCTGGAAAATGTCGTCACCTGGGGAAGTTAAGATAAAAATTAGGAGTGGATAAATAAGACGTAAAATGTACTGTACAAATTCAACTACAACTAATTACCTCCGTGAAGCAGGAAGGGCTCTGCTCAACCTGTTGTGTGTGACAGACAAAGTCAGCCAAAGAGCTGTGCTTCCTCTCTTCATAGTAGAACCCGGTCAGATGTTCACTCTCCACTTTAGAGAGCCCTGTGCAGTCCAGACGAGCCACAGAGTCCGGAGTGGCACAGTTCACCAGGATGAGTTTGGCCTCATCTAGTACTCTTCTTTGTTGGTCTGGGATGTCCATGTCTCCCCTCTGTTTCTCTGTCACTTGAAGAACCACCGAGGCACACGTGTCCGCATGGAAGCCAATGAAAACATCAGGAGGTTGGTACTTGTAGGTTTGTGGTGCAGTTAAGCTTTGTCGAAGATCTACAAACTGCCCAACCCATCTCTCCAAGTCTGCAACAATTTCCTTTTGTTCTTTACCAAGGACAGTATAGATGTCCAGGTAATGCTTCTCAAGCCTGTTGATGAGAGGGATCGGAAACTGGTTGTAGACCACCTCTTTATCCTCAATGACAATGAGCCTGAAGTCTTTGTGCACTCTGCATTTGACACGATGGGTCCCCAGTCCCAGGTCAACATACTTTTGTCCTCCTAAGCAGACGTAGTATTGGTTGAGAGCATCGTAGAGACTTTCGTATAGGTTCTGCAAGTTCAGGAGCACGACGGTTCGACCGGTTTCCATGCAGATCTTGATTCGGTTGATGTTGCGGCAGATCTGGGTGTACTCTTGGTCCTTGGGGAAGCTGGACCCAAAGATAATCTCAGGCTGGCAGCTCTCTGAGAAAAAGGTCTGCTGCAGGATCTGTAAGGCTGCATAGTTTTTGGTCAGTAGCAGCAAATAGCGGCAGTCTTCCTCCTGAGCGGAGATGTTTTGTCTCACAAGCTCAATGGTACTGATCCTCTCCAGATTTGGATTGATCTTAAGCGTTTCGGTGAAGACCGTGACTGCGTCCACATCATCTCTTCCACTGAAGTTCCTTAGTACCGCCTCCACAATCTTCTCTGCACTAGGGATCTGCTCTGAGGCCTTGGTAACTGCAAAAAGCATCTTGATTAAGCTGTAGTAGTCACGCAAACCAAAGAAACCTTTGCCTTTTTCTGGGCTGATGTTTAGGTAGGCCCTGGCAAAGGGTTGAAAGAAATCTCTGACTTTCTCCAAAATCATTGTGTCAGACGAGCATATGCCTTTTGCACTCTCAATCAGCTCCTTCTCGTCAGGGTCACCGCGTGAAACAAAAATCCCTCTGTTCATCTTCGCGGGGTCCAAAGCCCAGTTGGAAATGCCAATGAATCCAACCTTCTTGTGTGGTAAAGGCTCATCATCAATGCATCCCTCTTCTAGCAGAGGATGGAGGGTTTTCAGGGGCATTTTGGGAGAGTCCTCAGCCAATCCAATTTCATCCAGCACCACCACTGATATGTACTCCTTCAAGTTCTTTCCCTCCTGGAAACGTGCACATTGCTTGAATGTGTTGATGATGCCCTCTGGCGTGGAGTGAGGGCTGCACTGGAAGGACACCAGGTGAATCTGCTTCAGTCTTTTGTAGAGGTCAGAGTGCGCAGCTTGACCCTGCATGGCATCTGCTACCAAGGTTTTAGACAGAGATTTAGAACTCCCAGGTTTCCCTACCAAGAAGAGAGGGATTCTTAGCTCAATGCAGATAACAATCATGAAGATGTTCTCTTTCAGAGCATTGTTTCGTGCAATTGTTTCCCCCAGCGGCACTCCACTCAGGAGAAGATCCTGCATGAGTGAGATTTCCTGCATCACTTTCAATGGGGTGTATGTTTCAGTGAGATACTTGCAGATCTTTTGTCTGTACTCTTCTTTGTTTTCCAATGAGGCGTGGTAACACACTCCCACCGCCATCACCAGAGACCACAAGACTGGATCTCTTTGGATTCGTTTACACCTCTCTGCATTTTGATTTCTCTCAAACTCCCACAGACAAGCAAGTAGCATCTTATGGTTTTTGTAAAACCAGACAAAAACTTGCATGCAACGCTCCACATCCCTCAGACTTACAAAGCTACATTCATCTTTCCTTTTCCGCATGTACCTCTGGGAAGCAGACATGACATTGGTGATCCACCTTGCATAGGCCATCTTGATCATGTTGGTCTGAACCACCCTCTTGACAATTTTCTTGATGTACATTTTTTCAGTGTGATCATTGAGCTGTCCAAAGTCCCACACCAGAGGGATCATGCTTGGGGGCAAGGCCTGGACTCGGTACACCAACTGACGGAGAGGGATGGACCCCAGCTTTTCGTCTGTCTCTTCAGCTCGGACTCTGTATCCTAGGCCAGCTGACTCCAATCTGTGAATCATCTCATCTGTGTGCTTTCTGTAAGGGTTGCATGCAGCAATAATTTGCAAGCCACATTGGGATTGCAAAGGTTCTCCTTCTACAGTATGATCACATATGACCTCCTTAATACTGCTGAGGGCGTCTGTTGTGTTGGCTTCATCAAAGAAGAGAACAGAATCAAAGCCATAGCGTTGTTTGTTGTTATAAGCAATGGCTTCTGCCTCTCTGACATTGGTGTAAATCATGTCTGAGCTAGTTCCTCCATGCACTTTGACTAGCTTCATATTCTGAGTGGTCACTGCTCTCTTCTGTAGTTCACAGAGGAAGTTGATGAGTCTCGTTTTCCCACACCCTGTCTCCCCCATGATTACAACAGGGATGCTGCACCTGAACCGCATGATAATTGCCAGCATCTTCAATACATTGTCAGTTGTTAGCTCATATGTTTCATCAGGATCAAGATGCTGGTGGATTCCCATAACATTGCAAATGTATTCAATTTTATCCTGTCTCGACAGTTCATCAAAATCAATGTTGAAAGGGACTCTCTGTAGAGTCAGGCCGTCAAACAGTTTTTTTGTCATGATGTTCCTCTTGATCACACTCCCTGTGGATGGATCAACAGCATCTACCCAGTTTTCTTTATTGGGCTGAAGGTGAAAGCCAATGAAGGTCATTGACATGTGGTCGCCATTGAAGAAGATGTAGGGATGTGGTTCTGACTCCCATCTCTTTCTGATCCGGAACGGTGCCAGGTCTTCTTCTTGTTTTCCAGTTAGGTCGATCTGCCGCTTCCCAGGGCTCTGGTCTGAGATGCTGAGTGAAGGAGTGGCGAAATCCTTGGCCATCAGAATCATGAAGTCCACCACAAAGTTCTTGAATCCCTGAAGAGTGTCCCCGGTGATAGAGGCATCACAGAAGACGGACGTCTCACAGTCTCGCAGCTGAAGGTTCAGGAACCATGTAAAATTCCTCAACTCTGCCCATGAGGGGTCCTTAATTCCACAGTACAGAAGGAGCAACTGTAGACATTTCACATGGGTCCCTTCAACTCCACCGTACATAAATCTGTCCAAGTTGATGTGATTATGGGATCGTGTCAGATATTGGTATGGTCGTTGGTAAGCGTCACTCTTGAACTCTTGGTCATCCATTAGTGGGTCTTCGGGCTTCGTAATGGAGGGATCCTGTTGCATCCTCATTCCCAGTTCTAGAATCTCGTTGGGTGGGCGGCAGAAGATGTTTGGGAACACATCCAGGAAGGTAAAGTTGACAGGTGCTTTCTGTAAAAAGAGAGGGGAGACGTGTGATTTAAGAAAATCAAGAAATGACACGTACATTGACGACAGTCTCTGATAACACATTAACATTGATAGTCTTTTAAAAAAGCATACCGTTGTTGGTTCATTTCTGAGCTGGTTTACAGTAGACTGTAGAATCTCAATCACATACAACTGCTTGTTGCTGCATTTCCACATTCTTCCCTCAGAATCCATCAAATAGCCCAGGACCAGCAGTTTAAACAGACATTCATCAAGACCCTTCTGTACCTGTTGAACATTGCATAAAAAATAATAATGAGAGTAAAGGAATTTACAAAAAAAATACTAAAATGTAATTAAGTTAAAAGTAGATTCAAGCATCTCGAGAACTTCTGCTGTTTTATGCCGGGTATACACTACGATTTCACCCCAATTATTTTTTGCTGACAAATTTTAACGATTGTTGTGAAGTCCTAAGATCATAGTGCTGGGTTGGGACGTCCGAAACGTCAGGATTTTTTAAACTCGGATCGGATATCTGAAGCATCCAGATTTTTAAGTGTGAGCGAGAGTCATGCTTATTCTTACCAAATCCTCCTATCATAATACACAGTTTCGGTAGTGGACCCATTACCTCACACCGAGCGTTGTTGTCAAGAGCGTTGTTGTCAAGAGCGCTGTTGTCAAGAGCGCTGTTGTCAAGAGCGCTGTTGTCAAGAGCGCTGTTGTCAAGAGCGCTAGCCATGGCCATTAGGACCAGTAACTGTGAGAACGACATGAGCCGTCAATTGTGTGTTTTGCCTTGCGGCTCAGGTACACACTACAGGAGTTCAGAGGGTCGTCAGAACTCCCTACCTATCAGTTGCTCAGCTTTCGTCTGTCCTGGAAGTTAGAATCGTTGTAGTTCAACATATTTTACAATTCACTGTTTGTATTAAATAAGTGTTTAATGTGAAAACATCATAGATCAAAACTAAAGGCTAGCAGGCAATTCACAAAAATGATTGCTGTGGGAAATCGCTGGATTTTTTTCCCCCTAAAGTCTACAACGCAAATTCTCAGGTGCCTGTTGAACCACTACCAGTGACTCATTTGTTGTGGCCTTAGGTTACAGGGTTTATTAGGGATATTCTGTTCATCGTTTATACAGGAATATTGGCGGTTGTTGAATTTAAGGGTGCATGCAAACTGCTTTTTCAAAATAAGACCATAACTAGGATAAGGGTCATTGTCTGCAATAAACTTGATCAAATAATGTTAAATCAATAATGTTATAATAATCAATAATGTCAGTGGCACAATTTTTCATTTTTCCACATCAGCAAACCTAACTAGCTTTAAATCAATACCACCAAATATAATTACCGTAGATGTGACATCAAAATGGAAGATGGTCAGCTCTTTCTTCTCAGGGCTGTTGAGAAGAGACTGAAGAATGGCATTTTCATCAACCGTTGGCTTGATCAAGCGAATGCATTTCAGCAGTGCAGCCTTCATGAAGTTGTCCTTCAGTTTTTCAAATAGCCTCTTGATATAAAGGGATTTACCTGAAAGTGTCACCATCATGTTATTAGTCAGAGGAACCAAACAAGCTGAAAGTGTTAGGCATTTTAAATAAAGACAAATTAGTCAATCAAAAACATTTTCAGGAGCTACATGTAGCATTTTAGCGACAGTTTCAATTTCCTTGTGGTTTTTTTAAAGAAAAACAGCTTAGAAGTATCTGACTTGGCTCTACTTCCTTACTTTATCATAACCCTTAAACAAACATCTGTAAAGGGATGTGTGTGAAATGATTGTTTGTAATGATTGTGGTCCTCTGTAGCTCAACTGGTAGAGCACAGCGCTTGTAACGCCAAGGTAGTGGGTTCGATCCCCGGGACCACCCATACACTAAAATTATGCACGCATGACTGTAAGTCGCTTTGGTAAGTCTGCTATGCATATAATATATATATATTTTTTTAAAATACTAATTAGTGACAAATGATGTTTTCCTGTATCAAATTCTGGGAGTAGCCCCGACCGAGACTTCAACCCGGGTCCAGCAACTGCCAAGCCAACACCTTCACCGTCCAAACCTCTTGATGAGGTCGCTAGATGTCGGGTTAATGTCGCTTCAATACATTATTTACTTCTGCAGACATTATCTACACATTGCACTATTTACAGGCGGAAACGTCTACAAAAATATACTGACCAACTCCAGCTCTTTCGGACGACACAACTCCAACAAACTGTCGGTCTTTGAATACAGCAGCAGCACTGGTCTGATCCGCTGGGACCGTATAGTGTCTGTTCAGGTAACGCTGAATCATGATCAGTGGCTCCTGGGGCACCATGTGTAACCTGTACTGGCTGAAGGCTGAGGGAAGGTAGGCGTGCTCTCGATCCAAACTGCAGATGATCACAAGCCTGTAGTCTTTCCGGCTCTGCATTTCGATACTCTTGAAAAATCTCTCAATTTTGGAGCTCACTTCGTAACTCAGCTGATCCCCGTAAAGCATGGTGTAGATCTTCTGTCCTCTGTAGCCTGGGGTGAGACAGCGCCTGACGAACAGCTCCACTTGCTCATAAGGTGTGGAGGAGTTACACAGTAGGACCTCATCATACGTAGGCAATGGCTCACATTTGCTACTCATGTAAATGGAGATGCAAGATGTCAGGATCTCATCGTGTGGGCAAACAATGAGGTTTGGGGTCCCCGTAGCAAGGCCCTTGGACAGATCCCGTTGAATAGGTTTTTTGCTCCACATTTTTGGGCAAAATTTGTTTTCCTCTTTGTTGGCCAATATTTCTAAGAATCTTCCAAAGCTTCTGACATCAAGAGTGTCTGGAAGAAAGTTCTTCATGTCTCTCATGTAAGCATTCCAAATCAGATTCACTTTTCCTGAGCCAATTTCTTGTTTGATGAGACTTGGCAGGTTATCGGTAAAGCGATCCATAAAATCTGGACCTCTCTCTCCGCTGCTCGACACTTCAACAAAGGTCTGAAAGTCAATTTCCTCATTTCGCTCTGATGGTTTGGCGAGGATCTCACTTTGCAGTGCATGGCAGGACTGCCTCAGATCAGAGGCTGTGCAGTTGGGTTTGACAAAAGAGAGCATCATGAGAACTTGGTCTTCAAAATTGGCCACATTTTGCTGAGTCAGCTTACTGCACAGGTAGACTATCTGCTCTGCGGTGTAGTAGTTCAGGTAGTAATGGTGGGATCTCTGTTTGTCCATAAAGTCATTCCAGTACTTCAGACACTTCTCCATCTTCCTGCACAGCTCAGGAAGCTGATCCACGATGTTGCCCTCCACCGTAATCACACCGACAACACTGCCCAGGTGGAAGTCCACGGTGATGCCGGCCTCCTCACTGAGTGAACTACAGTCGATGTTGGCTTCCCAGTTTCGGAACAGGGGGTTCCCAGCTGTAAACAGGGCAATGAATGCCACAGCCAATCTCTGGACACTGGCGAAAACCTACGAAAATCAACACGAAGTGCTCAATTATAACAAAAATACCAAAATGTTCCTTCTGGTTGAACAACGTTACAAGTAGTATCTGAAACATATAAAATACTGATATCTACCTCTGAAAATTGGTTCACCTCAGACTGGTCCCCTTTACCAGACATGAGCATGAGTTTGTTTTGCAGATCCCTAAGGTCCTCCAGTGAGTAGGAGCGCATCTCCTGCTCCTCTCCATGCTCCTCGGAGATTTGCAGCTTCAGGGCAGTCTCAAGACTCAACTTGATGAAGAAACAGCAACACACAGGGATACATTTTACTGTTCTCATTGCTTTTCGCAAACTGTTGCAACTTGGGTATGTTGACAAAATGTTGACTGAACACTGAAATGTTTGTGTTCTCTAAACATTTCCAAAACATGTAAGTAGGTTGCGGGCACATTAATTAGGCTGTGGGTCATTACGTAAGACCGGTTCCTAAAACACAAAATCTGTCCAGTTGTTTATGATGTTTAAACAATGTTAATTTTAAAATTTCACAGAATATTCCCTTGATGTTTCAGAATGTCCACAGAATAATGTATCTATATTACTTAAAAGATATTCCCACAACATTCTTAAAAATGGACATTCCTTTTCCGATTCAGGAAAGTCACATTTATGCTCATTGGTCCGTGGGCATTTTATTTGTGCATATCATCTTATCGGAGGACTAGATGTACAACATAATGCCTATACAGATAGCAGGTAGTGGCGAATACTTCACCTGGTAATTGCACCATGTAAAAAAAACGTGCCTCCATCTCACGGACATTGTTTAAGATAAGATAGAACATAAATCACATAGCAGATATGTAGTTTTTTGACGAAAATGTTGTCCATACAGTATATTGCATGGTAATATTGTCTACCTTCTTTTGGTTCTGTGCACTGATGGTGTAGATGCCCTTTTTGTTAATGGCGGTGGCTAAGGAGATGGAGGACAGCTCCACAGACCCATGGAAATCCTTCACAGTTTTCAACCACTCCAAGTGTCGTGCTGTGTCATGCTTCAAAACAGAGAATTAAGAGTCGGACATTGGCTGCTATTGACGGATTATTAAAATGATAGTTTTCTATGTTAAAATGTTCATCTCACCAGCTTCTTTGGGAGGTTGCAATCATTATCCAATGTTCTCCAGAGTTTCTTCATCCCCTCTTTAACGGTCTGAAAACCAGAATCTTGCTTCAGCTCGAAGAGCAATGGGGAGTATCCATGAACGGCATCGTGGAAACAGGCCACACGGTCCACATCAAGATCATTCTCCCCAGCAGAGATGGAGGCCAGGTCAACAAAGACTTTCAGCTCATTGATATCTGTAACATAAATATAATCAATGCAGATATATTTTACAGATTTTTCTAAGTACCGTATTTTCCCGCACTATAAGGCGCACCGGAGTATAAGCCGCAGCAGCTAAATTGAATGATATTGAATGATGTGTACATATATAAGCCGCACTGGACTATAAGCTGCAGGTGTTTTAATGTTTAATGACCATATGTAAGGGTTCGTGCACAGAGGGGATTGTCGGGAAAGAGACAAACTGTCTCGCTCTCGTAATGTCTGTCTGTCTTGCTCTCGTTCTGTCTCTCGTTCTGTCTCTCGTACCACTCTCGGTTCCACTTTTACTATTTGCGCGCTACCTGTCTCACTCTTTTCCGGCCTCCAGCTTTTCCTGCTGGAGCCCGCCGCTTAAAGGTGGGGGGCGCGGACCGGTCATAGAGCCCATAGAGTTAAAGTTGGTGGACTGTAACCTGTAAAATCCATAGATTTAGGAGGTCTTCTAGTGGCCGTTAGCTGTAATAATCCATAGATTAGCCGCACCGTTATATAAGCCGCAGGGTCGAAAAAATTGGAAAAAAGGCGTGGCTTATAGTCCGAAAATTACGGTATCAGAGCAGTGTTTCTTAAACTCAGTCCTCGACACCCCACGGATTCAAATTATCAAAGCTTGATGATTAGTTGATTATTTGAATCAGCAGTGTAGCGCTAAAACCAAAACGTGCACCCCTTGGGGTCCCAAAGACAGAGTTTGGGAAACCCTGTATTAGAGTAACAAAAATGTTTAGCCATTAGCCTCTTTACCTTTCAGGGCCTCTTTAACCCAGATGACAAAATCTTTTGAGTGGCCAAGTTCCACGAGACACAGTCTGCGAGGTTCTGTGATGTCCACCAGATCTGCCTTGGCCTGCATCAGGTCATTGTCAATCTGATCAAGGTGCTCTTCGTTAACATCTGCTCGAATCTGAGAACAGAAGAACAGAGAATGTGCCTGGATCCATTGTTGTTCAGTTACCACTGGTTTATGTTGTAGTGTACAAACAACTAAAAGAAATAAATAAATAAAGTGAATGCAGCAAAATGTTAGATGAAAAGTCACTTAGAAGAGTCACTTCGGGCTAACTTTACACACACTTAATCCTAGCTTGATTTGAGATATGTGCATTTTCCACAACTTGGCTGAATATTCTATTATGATTGGTCAGTGTCGATTATTTTCAAATAAACACCCGGCAAAAAAATTATATTCCACGGCTATGAAGAAATTCCAACAAAAAAAAAAGTGTCCAAATACTGTACGTACAAAATCCATTCACAAAACCCACCTTACTTATATTCATTAGCATCAATGTTAGCTACAAACGACTTTGCCATCTACACAAACCAAATATTTTTAAATGCAAGACCAACGTGGACAGAGGAGGCAGATTAATTTAGCTAGCTAGCATTCGTTTACATTTGACAAGCTCTGTCATTTTTTTTGCCACATTTGGTTTGTGGTCCAGGAGCCATGAATCACCTCCGTCTAGACAGCTACAATATTGTCAAGAGGTGAAACTGAAAGTCAAACGTTACCACGTGTTCCCTCTGATCTGCTGTTTCCAAAGTAAAAAAAAAAAAAAAAACGTAATTGGCATTGTTAAAATAGATTTAATGTAACCTAGATAAATAGTTAGCTAGCTAGCCCTCGTTGATTATCCCTTATTTCACGTTTTGAGTCAATCTATTTCACTATGGGTTTTGAGTAAATCGTGCAAAAAAACTAAAATGGGAGATTTTCACCAAAAATGGTGACAATTTGAATCCAGAATTTTAAGCCCTTACAATGTCTAGTAGTGTCTGAAGGGTCTTGAAGTCGCCTTGAAGATTTAGAGTCTCCTTGACCTTCATAATGACTTGAGCAGACTTCACAGCCAAGTGAAGCCCATGGTACTGCTCAATCTGCTGGACCCTTCCCTGGATCCAGTGTTTGTTATCTGACTTGTTAAGTCTGCACATGATGTCCAAATCCATTGCCAGCTTTTTATATTTGCCCGTGTAGTCATTGAAGAGGGTGTCAACATATTTAAGCTTGAGACTGCCATTCTTCAGGCCTTCGTAGGTCTTCTTGTATTTAGCGTAGCAAGGTTGAAAAATGCCATTGGTTACATCCTTTGGTGTTACCAAAGAATCAAATTCAGAAGCAAAATCTTTGGTCTGTTTCTCCCACAACATCTTGAATATGTGGCTGTCTCCAAACATGGTGCCAAACATCTGCCATCTGTCGCATGCTCCCATCAAGATCAAAGTATGTAACCACACCATGCATTCTAGACGAGGGCTGGTCAAACGGATGAACCTCCATGAACTGGTCCAAGGTCATGTCCTCAATGTTGGTCAGTTGTCTCTCTTCCATGTCCCCAAAATGAACTGGGATAAGATAAAAACATAAAAACAAAAATGACTTTTGTTATTACAATCAGATACTCCCAAATGCACACACACACACACACACACACACACACACACACACACACACACACACACACCTGTGATGTGTTCCTTTAGGTTACGGCTCATGGTGAGCAAGATTTCCACCAGCTCCTTCTCATGGTTGACAGCTCTAGCCTCCTCACACCTCCAATCGAGGAGCGTCGCCACGGAGTCACGGTTCTTGCATTTCTCATTCACAGATAGACAATCTGCATTGAGATCCAAACAAGCATTTCATTCAATGTCATTATGACTTTTCCCATTTCCTCACGAAAAAACAGAGCCAATCACAAGCTATCAAAAATATAGAACACACAACCCTTCCATTACCTATCGCCATCAGCTCTGTGAAAGTCGCTTTCTTTCCTAAGATGTCGTTGAGCAGTTTGATCTTGATGCTTCCACTGATCAGCTGGTTACAGATGACTTTGAAGGATGAGATTGCTTCAGTAATTTTGACCTTGGCCTCTTTAGAGAGCTGCTCAATCAGCTTTTCATCAGCACCTACACGGCATACAAAGAACGTCATACAGTAAATGATGAAGTGTTTGGCAAAGTGTCTGAGCTACATTATGGTTACTAGGCTAATGTAAGTACCATGTAGTTGAAATATATTCTTGGCTGCAGTCCAAGTCATGAGGTGTTGAAAGACCGCCTCATCCTTGTTTCCATGGCTGTCGCTTGGCCAGGTTTTCTGGATTAAGGCTGAGATGAGTTTCCCAAACTTCCTGTTAATCTGAAACTTCTCAAAGAGCTGTCCCTCTGATTTGCTCTGTACCAGAAAAAAAAATCATTCAAATTACATTAGTTCAAGATTATTTTCCATTGGTAATGCAGCATGTGCATATGCCTACATTGAATCATTATTCATGATAGTATTTATGTAACTGCCAAAATAAAGGAAACACCAACATAAAGTGTCTTAATAGGACGTTGTGCCACCACGAGCCGCCAGAACAACTTCAAAGCACCTTGGTATAGATTCTAAAAGTGTCTGGAACTCTATTGGAGGGATGCGACACCAGTCTTCCATTAGAAATCCTGAGGGATCCTGAGAGGCATCGCAGTGCTAGAGGCGTCACTACAGACCCGGGTTCGATCCCAGGCTGTATCACAACCGGATGTGATCGGGAGTCCCATGGAGTGGCGCACAATTGGCGCAGCGTTGTCCGGGTTAGGGGAGGGTTTGGCCCGGGGTAGGCCGTCATTGTAAATAAGAATTTGTTCTTAACTGACTTGCCTAGTTAAATAAAGGTAAAATAAAAACAATTAATACAATTCCATTATTTGGTGTTTTGTTGATGGTGGTGGAAAACACCGTCTCAGGACCCACTCCAAAATCTCCCATTAGTGTTCAATTGGGGTAAGATCTGGTGACACATGATTAACATCGTTTTCATGCTTATCAAACTATTCATTGACCACATGCCCTGTGGATGAGGGCACTGTCATCCTGGAAGAGACCACTCCCATCAGGATCGAAATGATTCACCATAGGCTGAAGGTGATCACTCAGAATGCCGTTTACCTTTGAGTGGACCTAAACCATGGCAGGAAAATGCACCCCACACCATAACAGAACCGCCAGAAACCTCATTTACTCAAGTGTTTCCATTATTTTCGGCAGTTACCTGTATGTATTACCAACAAAAGTATTCCTGTAAGCATTAGGCCCCAGCAAACATCTTTAAACACATTTTTCCTGTTCATTTAAAAGTGAGCGGAGATATGAGGTTTCAAAGGTTTCGACTTTTGGACTACTTGAGGAGTACTCATACCTGGCACAATGAGGGGACAGCTTCAAGAGCACATTTCTCAATACTACAAGTCACATTAGGATGACAGTAATCCAGCTCCTCCATCTTCGAGCAGTAGATCTCTATTTGATCCAGAGAGGAGATCTGAAAATGTGTTTTTAACAAATCAGACATCTCCACTGGACACAAATAATAAGAGTTAACCAAATCAAATCAAATCAAATCAAATCAAATTTTATTGGTCACATGCGCCGAATACAACAGCTGCTCCTTGTAGCAGTTCCTCACCTGTTTAAGTTTGCCCTCTAAATCCGTACAGAAAGTTTGTCTCCATTTCTTTGTGAAATCCCCGTTTACAAAACTGAGAGAGATGATGTTATTCCACATCTGTGAATCATAACCAATAAGAAGAGCATGGTTAACAAATTAATGTACAATAATAATTGTACTTTTTAAATTGAATTAAAAAAAAAAACTGCTTTGAGACAACATACAGCATCTATGAATCTTACATGAACTTAATACACTAACTACTTCTTCAATTATATTTATAGATATTATATATTTATTTAGCATGTATGATACATTATGAAACTTGTGATGTATGACCCCTTATAATGTCTTATAAGAGTAATCCTGACTAAATAGCAGCTGTTTTGAGTCAGTCATGTTACCACAAAGAGAGACCTAATCCTTATTATAATACAATATAAAGGCTCATACATACAACATATCATAATAAAGCATTATATCTGCATGAAAATAAAATGTTAACGCATTAACAAATGTAGCTTCTCATGAAAACGCGTGGACATAACCTGTGCAACAACAAGTTGAGTAATCCTCTCACCTTGATCTCGGAGGTATCGCGTAACTTCTCTTTGAAGGTCATACTGATCCAGGATCTGACAATGTCGATTGACTCAGACAGCAGCCTCAGATCCTTTGAGTGAACAGTGTCTCCTCCCACGTCACACGTCTTTAAAAAAAATAAGTCATTTTCAAAATTACATTTAAAAAAAGTTACACATTTGACCGTTTGAATCTTAACTCACACATATCTCTGAAAATGATTGCACGACTCATGCAAACGTCTGAGGGAGATGTGTGCAAAACTTCACAGGTCAGGTTTTAGGAAATACATAACCACAAGGCTTAGTTTAAAACAAGTAAATCATATCCATCTGTTTATAAAAAAGTGATAAGAAAATGTGATTTAGATTTTGAGATTTGATTGATTGTATGGTATCCTTGTATACAAGACACCAATAAATATGACAATCAGGTTTCATGAACAACAACCCCCCCCCCTCCCCCCCCCCCCCACCGTGCTTCTAGTACATGTCTACATAAAGTCTCGTAATTATTGTTTGGCAACAGGAAATCTAAGCCATAGCTGTGTCTGAAATCTGTCTTGTCTACTACTTACTAAAACTACATTCTACTACAGTACATACTATTTACAACTTACTGTTCAGTAATAACGAATGCAGTAAGCAATAAATATCAACACACTAGCATCCTGAGAATGCGTCATCTAATGCGGAATTGTGTTGATTCCCACCATTCGTTCATTTGGGTACAGCGTGTCCCCTTATCTCATTTTTTTTGATTATCAGCTGTTGTCAAACATGCTGGAGTCTGGAAAGACGATTGTCTTCCTCAACAGTGTGCAGCAATTTCTTCTAGATGAAAAGCCAAAATGAGTATGACATCCTGGCATTTAAAGCATACTACATTTTCGAAAATTTCACATACTATAAAACTTTATGTTTTTGCATACCTAAAATGCATACCTTAGAACGCAAGTATGGGTATTCGGACACGGCCATAGTCTACATTTACACTAGGAATACACAATGTGATTTTAAAGACACTGGTGCCAATGGTTTTGGTTTAAAGACACTGGTGCCAATGGTTTTGGTTTAAAGACACTGGTGCCAATGGTTTTGGTTTAAAGACACTGGTGCCAATGGTTTTGGTTTAAAGACACTGGTGCCAATGGTTTTGGTTTAAAGACACTGGTGCCAATGGTTTTGGTTTAAAGACACTGGTGCCAATGGTTTTGGTTTAAAGACACTGGTGCCAATGGTTTTGGTTTAAAGACACTGGTGCCAATGGTTTTGGTTTAAAGACACTGGCTCCATTACCTCTGAGAGTCAGGACTGCTGGGGATATTATACTATTATGTATTTAAGCAATAAGGCCCGAGGGGGTGTGGTATATGGCCAATATACCACGGCTAAGGGCTGTTCTTTACGCACGACGGAACGCGGAGTGCCTGGACACAGCCCTTAGCCGTGGTATATATCACAAACCCCCAAGGTGCCTTATTGCTATTATAAACTGGTATAAATAAATGTTTTGTCATACCCGTGGTATACCACGGCTGTCAGCCAATCAGCATCCAGGGCTGACATTAGGTCTTCAACAATTGAATTGTTCAACATCATTCTAATACCGGACAGTGTATTGCCAGCATTGTTTTATATAGTTGTTGTGAAAGAGAATGTTCAGGTCGTCAGGTTGTTTTTTGTCACAGAGAACGTGTTGGTAACAGTAATGTCATAACGGTAACAGTAATGTCATTTCCACATACCTTGGACTGGGAAAAGTTTGATACTGAGACTAACAGGCTCACGCAGTCTACAGGGATGCCTGTGAATTTTGAGGATCGGACTCCATTGCATATCTTCTTAAGCAGTTGCACTGTTGTTTCCAAGCACTCACTCCCATAACCATCTTTGAAACAACTGCAAAAAAGATGTTTAGTTTTCAACGGTCATCAAAGAAACAAAACAACTGACAATCACACACAATATTGAAACAAACTAATTAGACAAGTATGTCAAATCACCTGTATTTTTGCTCTTTAAGTTGGTTTTGAATATGTGAAAGAGTGGCAGTGAAATTCTGTAGGACATGAAAGAACATTTAAGTTAGCGCCAACTTGGTGTGTTACCTTGAAAATTCATACAATACAATACAATACAATACAATACAATACAATACAATACAATACAATACAATGTCGTCAACTATAGTATTGATTTAGCTCACCCCGTTGTTGCTGGTGGATACACTCACAGGAGCTTTCATAGTAAAAACATGAAGCATGTCCAGGAGCTCAACTTTGATGATGGAGCTGTATTCTACCAGATCCTCTACGGTCAGTAGACACATCCAGGAACGGGCCGCTAGTCTGTCCATCTCCACTAAATGTCCATTGGCTTTAATGAGATTCAACATTGTTCTAAAAAAATGGAGGCGGCAGGGGTTATTAGCAACGTTTTCCCAAACAATTGAAGAGGACTAAACCTAAGCTAAGTAAAGGATTCACTTTTATCTGGTGATATAGTCACCTGGGTTGGGGCCAATTCCATTTCAATTCAGTGAATTCACTAATCCTAAACTAAGATTCTAATTCCAATTTTCCTCAATGCTTTTCTATGAGAATGTATTTAAATGAGAATTTCAGTTTACTCCCTGAATTCACCGAATTGAAAATGGAACAGACCCCAACCCCGATAGTCACAAATATTTGCAAACATGAAAGGGAGAGAGAAATATGGTACCTGCTGTCCTTGCTGTTGGTCACTTTGATATTTTGCAGACCTGCCCAAGTCTCGCAACTTGATGTGATTGTGACGGGGATTGGTTCAAAGGGTTTTGAGGAACCTTTGAGGAGATGGAGCATGGGAATCACTAGAATCCCTTCCTCCTTCGCATTGTCTATCAGTTTCTCCAACAGGTCTGGCAATCTGTTTAGGAGAGAAGTATAGAGGCTTTTGTCTCCACTGAAAAAATAATGAGGACACAACAACCATTGTTTTTGTTAACAATTCTACAGTTAAAAACAGTTATGTGTCATTTCAACCTGTATGCAAAGTGGTCATCGTGGCATGGGGTTGGCTTTTTGAAGAATCTCAAATATAAAATATATTTTGATTTGTTTAACACTTTTTTGGTTACTACATGATTCCATATGTGTTATTTCATAGTTTTGATGTCTTCACTATTATTCTACAATGTAGAAAAACCCTGGAATGAGTAGGTGTGTCCAAACTGTTTGACTGGTACTGTATGTGATGCGTAAAGACATTTATGCCAATTGCAACAATGTGGACTGGAAACACACCAAACCTATTTAGCATGATGCTATTTAAACATTAGCTTCTCAATCCACACTGGACTAGGACAAGAATAATCCTTACCCTGCAGCTGAATTGGAGTTGATGACAAAGCAAAGACCGTCAATAATCTACACAATTTGAGACAACCACACGCCGTATTAAGCAATTGGGAACGTTGATTGGTCATTGAGTGGTCAAGCCCTCTTCACACCTACAATATATACTAATTGGTTGATGATGTCATTGGAAACGCTTTACTTTCTCTCTATTTTTTACTACAAAACATAGGAACGCACCATTTTCACACATATGTTGATGTTGTGGTGTCGCTGGTGATGATGAATATGAAGTTGAAACATTTGGAAATTTCCTTTAAGATTAGTAATGTGCAGTTTGCAAAGGATTTGTTATTTTTGAAATACTATTTTTACTGACTCAAGAGTCATTATTCGTTTTTCCGAGTGACTTGATCATTTTAGTCGTTCGTTTGACCTGCTGGCAGCAATGAATTCAACAGCAGAATTAATACAGGTTTCTCCGGCTCAGTGGCTCCGGAGCGACCAGCAACTGTCCATCATTTGCGCACAGATTAATAGATCATGATGCAAGCAGTATAGAGAAGGAAAATACATGTTTAGAACTGATAAATGATTGCTTGGTGCAAGAATGAATGCAGTTAATTGATTATTGAATGTTATCGATGGACACAGCTTTGTAGAATCAAAACATACACCGCCAGCCTCTGCTCAACACTCGAACGAATCGTTTGGGTGGCTGCTGCAGTTTGCGAACGATATAGCGTATTGGGCAAATCTTCCGTGAGACAGTCATTAAATTGCATCCCGCCAATAGTCCTTCACAATCTAGTCCGGTTGCGGCCGCAACTAGACCTAATTTCAAAGGTATCAATAAATAATCGTATTTGTATCCCTAGAAATCACAAATGTAGGCCTACATTGTCTGAAGCACACCTTTATAAGTTTCAGTACCAGATGACAACTCCACTAAGTGAACGAGATGGCTTGTAGAATCATGATTCTTTCGAGTTTTTAGTTCATCGTTCGCTGGTAGTGGGTCCTGCGTGCTCTGGGCATTACGGACTCAAATAAACGAAATGAGTCGAAAGATTTGTTCTTTTGACTGAATTAGTCTAAAATATCTGAGTCAGTAAAAAGAGCCGCCGAACTTCGGTAAATTATAAATATAACAGCTAGCTTAGATTTTTAGATGTACCATTGCGTTAGCTTTGTTAAAATAGAGCCCTCTAAAAAACAGTTTTTGCTTTGTCATTATGGGATATTGTGTGTAGATTGATTACGGGGAAAAAAAACTATTTAACGTAACAAAATGTGGAAAAAGTCAAGGGGTCTGAGTACTTTCCGAATGCACTGTGTGTAGGATATGCTCTGTTGGCTGATTATGCAAATGCCCCTGTAGTTTTAAAACCTCCATTCTACATGCTTTTATTTGGGTTTCTATATAAAGTATAACATTGAAATGTTCTTCTTTACTCAGACCCCTAGACTTTTTCCACATTTTGTTACGTTAAATTGTTTTTTTCCCCCCTAATCAATCTACACACAATATCCCATAATGACAAAGCAAAAACTGTTTTTTAGAAATGTTTGCAGATGTATAAACCCCCCCCCCCCCCCCCACGAAATATAACATTTACATAAATATTCAGACCCTTTGCTATGACACTCGAAATTGAGCTCAGGTGCATCCTGTTTCCATTGATCATCCTTGAGGATGTTTCTACAACTTGACTGGAGTCGTGTTTTTCAATGAATTCATTTTGTGTGAACCATCCCATCTTCATTTAATGCCAACAGCTGAGAAACTGTAATGTTAAAACAATGTACTCACTTTCTGAGAAGTAAGACGGGCTGTGTAAATTCTGTCCAATAGTGCAGGAACTCGTCTTTGGGCAGGTTGGGCAGGCAGAGAGCAAAGCATAGACCAGCGATTTCTGCTTTCTCTAGTTGGATATCATAATGTTTACACACATACAGCACGATCACAGCAGCCCTCATATGGTCCTGAATAATGGGACTCTTTCCATCTCCCTTCTTCAGGAGCTGAGGAACCACACTCTCCAGCATGAACCGCTTCAGCAGCTTTTAAACATTGGAGTAAAACAGAATGTTAGAATACTGTTTCTAAGGCATTTGTAAACCGCAATGTGTTTCTTTCCCATCTATTTCATCACGGCAATACAGTACATGTTTTTCTATGAATCATTTGGCATAACATGTGGGCATGCATTATCTAAAATGCCATTATGTTATTATTTTTATTTTTTTACTCACATTTTTCTTTTCTTTTTTTCTCATGTTCTTGTTTGTGCCTTCGTACAATGAGGGTTTCCTGTAAATCTGATCAAACTGAATCAGTTGTTTCATGAAACTGTTGAGTTGAATGTCATTCCAGCTGTGAAGGAGTTCAAAAATAGTCTGAAGCATTATCTTCCCTGCGATTTCTCTGCCTTGGATTATTCTTTTGGACACATCCTTGGTTGGTGAGGCACAGATAATGTCATCGTACTGATGCCAGGCCCCTGTGGTGTGGTGGGGTAGGGGTAGGGTAGGGGTGGGGTGGGGTGGTGGGGTGGAGGGTTGGGGGTGGGGTGGGTGGGGTAGGGGGTTAGGTGGGGGGTAGGGTAGGGTCGGGGGGGGTGGGTAGGGTGCGTAGGGGTAGGGTGGGTAGGGGTAGGGTAGGGTGGGGGGTAGGGGTAGGGTAGGGTTGGGGTGGGTGGGGTAGGGTAAGGGTTATTTAGGGTAGGTAGGGTGGGGTAGGGGAGGGTAGGGTTAGGGTTCGGGTGGGGTAGGGTGGGGTGGGGTGGGGTAGGGTTGGGGTAGGGTATCGGGTAGGTGGGGTGGGGGTGGGGTGGTTAGGGTGTGGGGTAGGCGTTAGGGGGGGGGTAAGTAGGGTAGGGTGGGGTGGGGTAGGGTGGGGTAGGGTTGGGTGGAGGGTGGGGTAGGGGTAGGGTAGTAGGGTGGGGTGGGGTAGGGGTGGGGTAGGGGGGTAGGGTAGGGTGGGGTAGGGTAGGGTTGGGTGGGGTAGGGTGGGGTAGGGTAGGGTGGGGTGGGGGGGTAGGGTAGGGTGGGGTGGGGTGGGGTGGGGTGGGGTGGGGTAGGGTGGGGTAGGGGTGGACAAGGAAAATGGAAAACATGCCACTTTAGACAACCCATGGTTTATGTGATGTTCTTGGCAAAGCAGGAAAGACAAACATTTTGAAGACAAACAAAATCTAATACTAGGCACTTGATTCAAAACTAATTTCAACTTGGTTTACAACGTAAAAATGTATGCACACATGACTGTAAGTCGCTTTGGATAAAAGCGTCTGCTAAATGGCATATTATATTATATTACAGTCGAGTTTGACCTAAAATAATCGATTTTGATCCAAATTCAGGCTGTTTTGAGAGAATACGCAGTTTTTTTTTTCATTTTCTGTGGCTTCGATTTTTGACCAATGTGATTGTTCGTTTGTGTGTGAGATCATGTTGCCAAAATCTCTATGAGTGGCTGTGGTTCCAAATTCTCTGGAAGCCTCTTCCCGATAGTAAAAAATCTGAATCTTCTGCTAATGAGTAGGATTTTCTTCTTTACGCACAATCTCTGCTCTACTTGTTTGGCTGCCCAGAGAACAGGCTACTCTGGCGATTTTCAGGTGATGAATGCAGAATGGTGCTTGTTTGATAAAGTTAGATCAAAGCTGAATCTACAGTGTATTCGGAAAGTAATCAGACTCCTTGACTTTTTCCACATTTTGTTACGTTACAACCTTATTCTAAAATTGATTAAATTGTTTTTATTCCCCTCATCAATCGTCACACAATACCCCATAATGACAAAGCTAAAACAGGTTTTTAGACATTTTTGCAAATTTATTAAAAACAAAAAAACAGAAATACCTTATTTACATAAGTATTCAGATCCTTTGCTATGAGACTCGAAATTGAGCTCAGGTGCATCCTGTTTCTAAAAACCTGTTTTAGCTTTGTCGTTATGGGGTATTGTGTGAAAATTGATGAGATTTTTTTATTTTATTTAATCCATTTTAGAGTAAGGCTGTAACATAACAAATTGTAGAAAAAGTCAAGGGGTCTGAATACTTTCCGAATGCACTGTAGGTCTGCAAGATCATATAATGATAGTTTTCTACAAAACAGAATATAATAGCATGGTAAAGGATAGCGTTACCGTAGGACAAAAAACACACACGTTTCTTGTGAGATTTTAGGATGATTGTGCGAATGGTCGGCCAAAGCGTAACGCGCCACTAAAGCTAAATATGTGATTTGATCGAAACAAAACCACAGATAATGCTACAGTTTGCTGTACATAATTCAAACCAACACCATACTTCGGAAACACTGTATATAACTCAAGAAGATCTAAACGAATATTCCCATGAAACTGACGGTTAGCGTGCAGATGGTGCATGGACGTTTTCCACCAGTAAAACTTGAATAATTATTATTCACGATTGACAGCGCGAAATGTGAAGGGAGGGTGACCACAAAACAATTGTAAAGTAGAGGTAAAAGGAACGCACGAGCAGAACGTGACACATTTTTTGCTCAGGGGAAGAGGCTTCCAGCGGGACAAGGCCGAAACAAATGTATTTGCCATTCTAAAATGGGGATGAGCATCACCCAAAAGCTGTTACATCATGTGTTCAATTAAAGTCTGCCATTGCAATTGAAAACAGTTGTAGAAATTCTCAACAAAAAAAAAAACTCTTACCTTCCTCATTGGACTTTACAGAAAGACATCTCCTTCGGGTGGGGTGTGTTGAATCAATGTACTCATACTTGTACTTTGCCTTTTTGGAACTGTAGACGAGATACTGGTATGGTATGGACACAGATTTGTCAGTGACCAGGATTCCTTCGACTAAGAATCCATGCTCTCCCAGATCCCTGCCGAGACAGTAAGTAAACGTGTAAAAACATTTAAACGTATGCACACATAGTGTATCGTTTTAAACATATTTGATTAACCTGATGTATTTCCGACATGTGCCACCCTGATTTCCCTGGGAAAGGCAGTCCACAGGTCAGGAGTAGCGACACTGACCGCCCTGTTACCCCAGGATCAATGTAGACCCAAGGCAGCGAGTGTTGGAGAAATATGGGTTCAATAGCTAGGTTTCCATGAATTATTTTTTTGTTGATATTGTGGGAAATTATTCTCTTATATTTTAGATGTGCTGTTAGCTTAATAAGAAAGCATTAATGATTAAACATAATAGGTTTGTACTGTACTGATATAGATTGGTCAACATAACAAGCTGTGATTAATGTGGGGAATTGTTAGGGGGTAGGATGAGATAAGACTTGTGTCTCACATACACACACACTGCCTCTTTGTTAAACCGCTCAAGGACATGTGTTCTGCTACAAAGATGTCTGAGGTTGCTGACTCGAGACAAGTTGTGGAGAAAACAACTGACACCTGGCAACAGTGAAGCGCCAAGGGGCTGGGACCAGCCTGTGCGCCAACGATAGGCTGAGTAAGTCTAAACCACGCTCAGTCTCTACTCTGATAGGCCAGCAGGGAGCAGGAACTAACTCTGTCAGAGTATTTAAAGAAGAACTTATAACAATGGCTTAGTTCTCTGTCTGCCCTGCGTGGTTTTTCAGTGGGCCCGTATATACGAACATCATATTTACCATTGAAGTGTTTTGCATTAATTAAAATACTAGTCTATTTTAGAAGACGTGTATTGACCTCTTTTTGTTCCAATACCAGATTTGAATTGACGCAACTTAACAATATTTAGAAAGTTTGCATAGAAAATAGAATTGCTTCCCACTGGGCAAAAACGGGTTAAATCAACATTGTTTCCACGACATTTCAAAAAAAAAAAATCAATGTGATGACATTGAATCAACGTAGAAAACTGACTGGATTTGCAAAAAGTCATCAATGTAAGAGAATTTGATCTATTTCACTGAACTTTGAAGTGTTTCCATGATCCAATTAAGCAAATTGCGCATTAATAAATAGGTGACAGCCTGCATACCCTGCTCACCTCTCTGTTTCATCTCTCAGGTAGCCCGCTACAGCCAGCATGGATAGGATGCAACAATTGAATAATATCTGCCATATTCTAACAATTCTCATGTGCCAACTTTTAGCCATGTCTGTGCCATGGTGAAACTTGCACTCCTGTAGATCTGAAACAATTGGATGGTGAAACTTGAATCCAGACAGTTTCACCAAGCAAGGTAAACAATTCAGGCATTCTTGAAAGCCAGGACAATCATTGTCCTGCAAAGAAACATTTTTATAGTTCAAAAATACAGATAAAAAAAAAAAAAAGATTTTGCAAGCAGTAGGCCTTTATAATTGTGGATTGTTTTATAGTGGATTGTTTTATAGTTACATGATGACATCACGTGCCCCGCGTACCTTCAAAATAATTCGGCAATCAGGCATTTATTTGCAAAACACCATCATCATTTGTCGCTGAAAATAAAGTTCGACAAAAGAAAAACCCACCCGTCGAACAGATCAAATTTGTGTTGATCTTTAGAAGATTTCGCCTACATCTGCCATTTCCCGTTACACGCGTCACATTGCTTGTGGGGAATAAACCTGGGTCAAAGGTTTAAAAAACTTGACTACTGCCTACTTCTATTTCGTTTCTTGCCCCTCAACGTCACATCCTGTCCCAGGATTGGACGGTGGCTTTAAACATAACAAGGGTTATGACGTTAGGATGTGTTACAGCTCTTTATGTAGAATGACATCACTTATAGGATTACTTTTTAGGTCAAACCACTAAATACTGGTGAACATTCAGTAGAGACACACGTGAAGCAAACCCACTTCGTCACGGATAGCTCAACGGCGTTGGATTCCCAACTCCCCGTTTCCTCGCCTGCCCATACGAAAAGGCGGTCCTCATTCTGGTCAAGATCGAAGTCCTTTGAGATGATTGCGTGGAAATAGATTTTAAGTCTCTCTTTTGCCCACACCTGTGGTTGCCCTGTGGCTGCCCTGAAATTAAAAACAAAACAAGAATAATCAGATGAGTATGGTCTAAAGATATGCAGGATTTGTCCTGGGCGAAGGGGATTTCAATAACCATGAGCACCGAATGACATCTGGTTGGCAGAACGTTTTGGAATAGATACCTTTTTGGAGGTGGACAAGGATACTTTTCATCCGTAGTCCCAGAGGCGTCACTTTTCACCTCTCCTTTCCTATGGACAGACTGCTCGACCTCCATGGCATCCTCCCGCGGGCCAACACTGGAGCGGATGCTGCCTGTCTGTTACACAAGTAATACGAGCACGTGTTAACACTTAACTGCCCGTCAAAGGGAAAACGACCAAATAGATCTCTCATTGTTAACTTTCATTGGGTCCATTAGTTTATGGATTGGGCTACATTGAAACTTGTCTTACAGAGGAAACGTGAAATGCATAAGCATGGTAGCAATTGAAAGGAAACAGTTTGGAGACGATGGGAAAATAATTAGACCAAAGTTGAAGAGGACACGACAACGGTTACCCTGACACAAAGACTGTTACCCTGACACAAAGACTGTTACCCTGACACAAAGACTGTTACCCTGACACAAAGACTGTTACCCTGACACAAAGACTGTTACCCTGACACAAAGACTGTTACCCTGACACAAAGACTGTTACCCTGACACAAAGACTGTTACCCTGACACAAAGACTGTTACCCTGACACAAAGACTGTTACCCTGACACAAAGACTGTTACCCTGACACAAAGACTGTTACCCTGACACAAAGACTGTTACCCTGACACAAAGACTGTTACCCTGACACAAAGACTGAACCATTACACCGTTGATTTTATGTGCATTTTACATTTACTGTACTTTTCCGGCGCATTTGTTGATTACGACATCTGAAAAGACTTCGGACACATTTAGTAACATGGCAACGAAAGACTAGTACATGACAAGGGCTTGAGTGAGAGGACTAACTGGTGTCTCCAAGTGGCCATACACCTCTCCAGATTGTGCACAGTTCCTAAGTCATTTCAATGCACTTATGACTCAAAGAAGAGTCTTCAACTATAAGGTGTTTTTTTTTCAGCTCTCCTGGCTGTGCTGTTGAGGAACTAGAGCAAGAACACTGGTAGTTGATTTGTTTGGAACACAACCCTGCATCCCCGCCATCACACAATTACTGTTGTAAACGGCCCATTTTATAAATCATAATCTGGGTCAAGTGGGCATAATTTGAAAGCTTGTTCTGTGGCCAACATGAATAGCTAAGTTATAAAATACGATCTCACAGTGTTCGGCTTTCACAGGGCAATTCAGAGAAACAGATCGTAATTTTGGTGCCGCATAGAAAGAGGTCATGAGTGCATTCAGGTGTGTGTTCCGCAGAGAATTTTCTTCACAATAGACAAACATTGGCTAATTCTGTTAAGAACGACCCAGGGTATAACACCATGTCATCTTGTAACTGTACATCAAACCAGATTTGTTTTTGACATTTCCTGCAATTCTAAACAGTTTGACATGAATTATTATGCCTCTTGAGGTGTATTTTCAGGGGTATATGTTGGGGTATTTGGAGGGGTATAGGGAGGGGTATATGGAGGGGTATATGGAGGGGTATAGGGGGGGTATATGGAGGGGTATAGGGAGGGGTATATGGAGGGGTATATGGAGGGGGATAGGGAGGGGTATATGGAGGAGTATATGGAGGGGTATAGGGAGGGGTATAGGGAGGGTATATGGAGGGGTATAGGGGAGGGGTATATGGAGGGGTATAGGGAGGGGTATATGGAGGGGTAGTATGGGAGGGGTATATGGAGGGGTATATGGAGGGGTATATGAGGGGGAGGGGATAGGGAGGGTTATAGGAGGGGTATAGGGAGGGGTATATGGGAGGGGTATAGGGAGGGGTTTATAGGGAGGGGTATATGGAGGGGAGGGGTTATATAGGGAGGGGTATAGGGAGGGGTATAGGGAGGGGTTTATATGGAGGGGTATATGGAGGGGGTATATGGAGGGGTATATGGAGTGGGTCTATGGAGGGGTATATGGAGGGGTATATGGGAGGGGTATGGAGGGGTATAGGGAGGGGTATAGGTGAGGGGGTATATGGAGGAGTATGGGGGTATATGGAGGGGTATGGGCGGGGTATATGAGGGAGGGTATATGGAGGGGTATATGGAGGGGTATAGGGACGGGGTATATGGTAGGGGTATAGGGAGGGGTATATGGAGGGGTATAGGGAGGGGTATTAGTATGGGGTAGGAGGGGTATAGGGAGGGGTATAGGGAGGGGTATAGGGAGGGGTATATGGAGGGGTATATGGAGGGTATATGGAGGGGAATATGGAGGGGTATATGGAGGGGTATAGGGGGAGGGGTATATGGGAGGGGTATATGGAGGGGTATATGGGGGGGATAGGGAGGGTATATGGAGGGGTATATGGAGGGAGTATATGGAGGGGTATAGGGGGGTATGGGGGTATATGGAGGGTATAGGGGGGGTATATGGAGGGGTATAGGGAGGGGTATATGGGGGGTATAGGGAGGGGTATAGGGAGGGGGTATAGGGAGGGGTATATGGAGGGGAGGGGTATAGGGAGGGGTATTTGGGAGGGGTTATAGGGAGGGGTATATGGAGGGTAATGGAGGGGTATGAGGGAGGGGGTATATGGAGGGGTATATGGAGGGGTATAGGGGAGGAGGGGTATAGGGAGGGGTATATGGAGGGGTATATGAGGGGGATATGGGAGGGGTATAGGGAGGGTATTGGAGGAGTATATGGAGGGTATAGGAGGGGTATATGGAGGGGTATAGGGAGGGGTATATGGAGGGTATATGGGAGGGGTATAATGGAGGGGTATTAGGGAGGGTTATATGGAGGGGTTTATAGGGAGGTGGTATATGGAGGGTTATGGAGGGGTATATGGGAGGGGTATATGGAGGGGTATAGGGAGGGGTATAGGGAGGGGTATATGGAGGGGTATAGGGAGGGGGTATAGGGAGGGGTTATAGGAGGGGTATTGGAGGGTATAGGGAGGGGTATATGGAGGGGTATATGGGGTATAGGAGGGGTATATGGAGGGGTATATGGAGGGTATATGGGTATAGGAGGGTATATGGGGGGTATATGGAGGACGGGTATAGGGAGGGGTATATGGAGGGGTATAGGGAGGGGTATAGGGAGGGGTAGATGTAGGGGTATAGGGAGGGGGTATATGGAGGGGTATATGGAGGGGTATATGGAGGGGTATAGGGAGGGGTATAGGGAGGGTATGGGAGGGGTATATGGAGGGGTATAGGGAGGGGTATATGGAGGGGTATATGGAGGGGTATATGGAGGGGTATAGGGAGGGGTATAGGGAGGGGTATATGGAGGGGTATATGGAGGGGTATAGGGAGGGTATATGGAGGGGCATAGGGAGGGGCATATGGAGGGGTATTAGGGAGGGGTTATATGGAGGGGTATATAGGGAGGGGGTATAGGGAGGGGTATAGGGAGGGGTATATGGAGGGGTATAGGGAGGGGTATATGGAGGGGTATAGGGAGGGGTATATGGAGGGGTATAGGCAGTCTAATGACTGCCTCGCCTGGTTCACCAACTACTTCTCAGATAGAGTTCAATGTGTCAAATCGGAGGGCCTGTTGTCTGGACCTATGGCAGTCTCTATGGGGGTGCCACAGGGTTCAATTCTTGGGCTGACTCTTTTCTCCGTGTATATCAATGATGTCGCTCTTGCTGCTGGTGACTCTCAGATCCATCTCTACGCAGACGACACCATTTTGTATACATCTGGCCCTTCATTGGACACTGTGTTAACAAACCTCCAAACGAGCTTCAATGCCATACAACACTCCTTCCGTAGCCTCCAACTGCTCTTAAACACTAGTAAAACTAAATACATGCTCTTCAATCGAACGCTGCTGGCACCCGCCCACCCGACTAGAATCACTACTCTCGACGGGTCTGACCTAGAGTATGTGGACAACTACAAATACCTAGGTGTCTGGTTAGACTGTAAACTCTCCTTCCAGACTCACATTAAGCATCTCCAATCCAAAGTTAAATCTAGAATCAGCTTCCTATTTCGCAACAAAGCCTCCTTCACTCATGCTGCCAAACATGCCCTCGTAAAACGGACTATCCTACCGATCCTTGACTTTGGCGATGTCATTTACAAAATAGCCTCCAACACTCTACTCAGCAAATTGGATGTAGTCTATCACAGTGCCATCCGTTTTGTCACCAAAGCCCCATATAATACCCACCACTGTGACCTGTACGCTCTTGTTGGCTGGTCCTCACTACATATTCGTCGCCAAACCCACTGGCTCCAGGCCATCTATAAATCACTGCTAGGCAAATCCCCGCCTTATCTTAGCTCATTGGTCACCATAGCAACACCCACCCGTAGTATGTGTTCCAGCAGGTATATCTCACTGGTCATCCCCAAAGCCAACACCTCCTTTGGCCGCCATTCCTTCCAGTTCTCTGCTGCCAATGACTGGAACGAACTGCAAAAATCTCTGAAGCTGGAGACTCTTATCTCCCTCACTAACTTTAAGCATCAGTTGTCAGAGCACCTTACCGATCACTGCACCTGTACACAGCCCATCTGAAATTAGCCCACCCAACTACCTCATCCCCATATTGTTATTTATTTTGCTCTTTTGCACCCCAGTATCTCTATTTGCACATCATCTCTTGCACATCTATCATTCCAGTGTTAATACTAATTGTAATTATTTTGCATTATGGCCTATTTATTGCCTTACCTCCATAACTTGCTACATTTGCACACACTGTATATATATTTTCTGTTGTATTTTTGACTGTATGTTTTTTTTTACCCCATATGTAACTCTGTGTTGTTGTTTTTAATCGCACTGCTTTGCTTTATCTTGGCCAGGTCGCAGTTGCAAATGAGAACTTGTTCTCAACTGGCTTACCTGGTTAAATAAAGGTGAAATAAAATAAAAATAAAATAAATAAATAAAATATTCTTCACATTTTGTCATGAGACTGAGAGACAATGTTGCAGTCTTAAATTAACTGTCCAGTGAAAATCTCACTTTTAAAAGTTCATATTCTGTTAATTCATACCCAAATAATTTTGTTGACTCATCCTATACTTGTATTTGTGGCCAAATCATAAATTGGAGAAAAAAACATTTAAAAAAAACTTCACATCAAACTTCTGTTTCAAACAGACCAGATCAAACTGTCACATGCTTGGTAAACAACAGGTGCAGACTAAGAGTGAAATGCTTACTATTAGATTTTGAATGACCAGTATGCGCCCACACCATTCTGTTGTTGGGGTACGCCAACAACATTCCAACACAGAAAATCTGCTTTTTAACATACTAAATTACATTTTTTTTGTCAGGAAAACTAAATCACTAATATTGTAATTAATTATAGGTCATATATACAGTACCAGTCAAAAGTTTGGACACACCTACTCATTCAAGGGTTTTTCTGTATTTTTACTATATTCTACATTGTAGAATAATAGTGAAGACATCAAAACTATGAAATAACACATGGAATCATGTAGTCACAAAAAAGTGTTATTCAAAACAAAATATATATTATATTTGAGATTCTTCAAAGTAGCCACTCTTTGCCTTGATGACAGCTTTGCACACTCTTGGCATTCTCTCAACCAGCTTCATGAGGTAGTCACCTGGAATGCATTTCAATTTACAGGTGTGTCTTCTTAAAAGTTAATTTGTGGAATTTCTTTCCTTCTTTTAATGCGTTTGAGCCAATCAGTTGTGTTGTGACAAGGTAGGGGCAGCATACAGAAGATAGCCCTATTTGGTAAAAGACCAAGTCCATATTATGGCAAGAACAGCTCAAATAAGCAAAGAGAAACGACAGTCCATCATTACTTTAAGACATGAAGGTCAGTCAATACGGAACATTTCAAGAACTTTTGAAAGTTTCTTCAAGTGCAGTCGCAAAAACCATCAAGCGCTATGATGAAACTAGCTCATGAGGATCCACCACAGGAATGGAAGACCCAGAGTTACCTCTGCAGCAGAGGATAAGTTCATTAGAATTACCAGCCTCAGAAATTGCAGCACAAATAAATGCTTCACAGAGTTCAAGTAACAGACACATCTCAACATCAGCTGTTCAGAGGAGGCTGTGTGAATCAGGCCTTCATGGTTGAATTGCTGCAAAGAAACCACTACTAAAGGACACCAATAATAAGAAGATACTTGCTTGGGCCAAGAAACATGAGCAATGGACATTAGACCGGTGGAAATGTGTCCTTTGGTCTGATGAGTCCAAATTTGCGATTTTTGGTTCCAACCACTGTGTCTTTGTGAGACGCAGAGTAGCTGAACAGATGGTCTCCGCATGTGTGGTTACCACCATGAAGCATGGAGGAGGAGGTGTGATGATGTGGGGGTGCTTTGCTGGTGACACTCTCTATGATTATTTAGAATTCAAGGCACACTTAATCAGCATGTCTACCACAGCATTCTGCAGTGATACGCCATCCAATCTGATTTGCGCTTAGTGGGACTATACATTTTTTTTCAACAGGACAATGACCCAACATACCTCCAGGCTGTGTAAGAGCTATTTGACCAAGAAGGAGAGTGATGGAGTGCTGCATCAGATGACCTGGCCTCCACAATCCCCCAACCTCAACCCAATTGAGATGGTTTGGGATGAGTCGGACGGCATAGTGAAGGAGAAGCAGCCAACAAGTGTTCAGCATATGTGGGAACTCATTCAAGACTGTTGGAAAAGCATTCCAGGTGAAGCTGGTTGAGAGAATACCAAGAGTGTGCAAAGCTGTCATCAAGGCAAAGGGTGGCTACTTTGAATAATCTAAAATATTACATCTATTTTGATTTGTTTAACACTTTTTTGGTTACTACATGATTCCATATGTGTTATTTCGTAGTTTTGATGTCTTCACTATTATTCTACAATGTAGAAAATAGTCAAAATAAAGAAAAACCCTTGAATGAGTAGGTGTGTCCAAACTTTTGACTGGTACTGTATATTTCATAAAAAATCTGGGAACACTGGATAGTTACTTTGGGCAAAAATGCTAAAATAATGGCTTTAAACTCTAAACTCTATAATGGATCATACCAGGTCATTTCAAGCTTAAAAACAAAAACAAATGGATGAAATTAGATATTTGGCTACAGAAGTGGATCTCTACAGCTTCCGTCCGAAAACTAATCCTGTGAAATGACGTCAACACATACTGGAGGAGTTGCTGGCTAGCTACAAGTGGCTAGCTTATGCTGCGTTCAAAACAACTGGGAACTCAGAACTGGGAAATCTCCAACTTCCGATTTCAGTGCGTTCAAGACAAATGGGAACTCCGGAAGTAAAAAAATCTCAGACTGGGAAAATTTGTTTTGAACGGTCATCCAACTTGGAATTCTAAGTCGGGAACGCGGGCCTCTTTCTAGAGCTCCGACTTTCCGATCGGAAGATCACTGACGTTGTGATTTGACCTAATTTTTGCACCATTAGCTAACGAACTAGCTACGTCTGGAGGAGTTACTGACTAGCTACAAGTGGCTAGCTTAGCTAACGAACTAGCTACGTCTGGAGGAGTTACTGGCTAGCTACAAGTGGCTAGCTTAGCTAACGAACTAGCTACGTCTGGAGGAGTTACTGGCTAGCTACAAGTGGCTAGCTTAGCTAACGGACTAGCTACGTCTGGAGGAGTTACTTAGCTAACGAACTAGCTACGTCTGGAGGAATTACTGACTAGCTACAAGTGGCTAGCTTAGCTAACGAACTAGCTACGACGGTCGCGGCACGCATGACCAGAATGACACGTCGATGAACCACCAAAAGCACACCCCATTTCTGGTTGAAAGTTGAGATAGACGAGGAGTTGGACCATTTTACGTGCCCGAAGTCGACCGTTAAAGCTAATTTCCTGCGATTTTACACTTTGCCATTGCTTATGTGTGTTCATATGCTATCTGGGGGGCCCCAACCCAACCGACCTGTTCTGAATATTGGGTGGGACATGTCCCCCCATCCCCTGTGGCAATTTCGCCTATGCATCAAACATAGTGATCATAAACGTTGACACTGTATATGACATGAGTTTTATGATATGGAAATGCGAAGAGCACATTTGGGACTGTATTTGGCTTGCTTGTATGACATCAAAGTGGTATTTAATATAATCCTCAACGTCTCATCTTTCAAAATACATAGAATCCTCTTAATTTACACCATTTCCCTCACTCGGACAACAAAACATTTGCAAAAGTTGCCTAATTACCGGGAGGGATGGGGGGCGTGCGGTGCTCAAGTTCAGAACGACTGCGCAGAGCCAGAGCTCGGACGTCATTTACAGCAGGCTACTGTACAGCCACTCATAACTACATATTAGGACACCGAGGTCCAAACCTCGTATTTGTTTCTAATTTGAAAAAACTATATTATAATAAGAAAATTAATATTGCACACAATAAAGAACATCAATTATCAATTACTAGTTACTGCGGATCCAATTTAGGCACTTATCAGTGCCCAAATCTGCCATTTTACATTTTAGTCATTTAGCAGACGCTCTTATCCAGAGCGACTTACAGTTAGTGAGTGCATACATTTTTCATACTGGCCACCCCGTGGGAATCGAACCCACAACCCTGGCGTTGCAAACGCCATGCTCTACCAACTGCCGGCCATTCCCTCCCCTACCCTGGACGACGCTAGGCCAATTGTGCGCCGCCCCATGGGTCTCCCGGTCGCGGCCGGCTACGACAGAGCCTGGATTCCAACCAGGATCTCTAGTGGCACAGCTAGCACTGCGATGCAGTGCCTTAGACCACTGCGCCACTCGGGAGACTTTCAGCCCACATACAGGTACCAGTATTAAGGGTAAAAAATCAAGTAGCTACGATACCTCCGATCCAACTGTGGCTGTCCTGAAATTGGAACAAAGAAAACAAATCAGATGAATATTGTCTTAAGATGAAGTGAGCAGGAATTGTCTTGGTTAAGGTCATTTAAAATAAGTATGAGTGTTGAGTGTCTTCTGACTAGCAGAAACGTTTTTGGATACCTTTTTGGCAGTGGTCCATCCAAGGTTTCAGAGGCATCATTTGTGTTGTCCCTCTTAAAATCTGGACTAGTTGGTGAAAAGGAGGAATCTCCTTTCCCATGGGCAGACTGCTCAACCTCCATGGGCTCCACCTGTTGGTCAACACTGGCACCTACGCTCTCTGTCTGTTCAGTAAAGTAAAACTGTAATAAAAAATGTAAACACTTAACTGCCCCTCAAAATGAAACCAAATGGCCAAATAGATCCCTCAATACTTATGACAAATTGTATTGGGTCCATTAGTTTAAATGATCAAACAGCAAAATCCTCTTTTAAAAATCAAGTAGCTACCATACCTCTGATCCAACTGTGGCTGTCCTGAAATTGGAACAACAAAAACAAATCAGATGAATATTGGCTTAAGATGAAGCGTGCAGGAATTGTCTTGGTTAGTCATTTAAAATAAGTATGAGTGTTGAGTGTCTTCTGACTAGCAGAAGGTTTTGGATACCTTTTTGGCGGTGGTCCAGCCGAGGTTTCAGAGGCATCATTTGTGTTGTCCTTTGGTTCCATCTTTAAATCTGGACTAGATGGTGAAAAGGAGGAATCTCCTTTCCCATCGGCAGACTGCTCAACCTCCATGGGCTCCACTTCCGGTGGGTCAACACTGGAACCTATGCTCTCTGTCTGTTCAGTGAAGTAAATAAAACATTTTAACACTCAAATACCTCAACAAGAAACCAAAATGGACACATAGATGGCCATTACTATAACTGAAAATTACATATTATTTTTACTTGATCAAACAACAAAATCCTCTTAAAATCAAACAGATACGATACCTTCTGAGAACCAAAAATCATATCCTTAACAGCAGCAGTAGTTTTGCGCAGAGTCCTGGCCTTTTAGGTCAGCTTCCACTTTCAGTTTGAGTTGCCTATTCTGGTTCACAATCTGGTCCAAGGTTGCCATATCTTTCTTGCTTTTAGTTTTTTTGGCATCAGCCTTTTGACCAGCGGCCTTTGTTCCTTCCTCTGAAACGGACTGATGAGAGGAGCTGGAGGACTTGTCCCCTAAGTCTGTTATAATGGCAGTAGTGTCATTTAAAGCTGACTTGAATGTCTGTTTTGTAGGTGATTGAAGAACATTACTCTGCCCAGTGTCACCTTGCTCCACTGTCAACTGTGTCTCTGCCATGGCCTCTGGCAAGGTTTGTGGACTCCCGTTGTCAGACATGTTTAAAGATGGTCTGACTGTACAGGCTAATGCATCAGTTAATCAAGCAGGGTAGACCCACGTTGAAGTGGCTGAGCGGTTTCATCCTGTTTCCGAGGGTTCGTCAGAATAAAGATGCAGGTTTCTTCTTTTGGTCCTCTTGTTCTTTTCATCTGATGGAAAATAAAGAGTAAACGTAAAGTTATGAATATAACTACTGTTCACTGAAGGAAGGGAAATAGGTACAACACACTCACTATGGGGGAGTCGCACCCTCGCTAGTCGTCTGAAGAACCTTTCAATCACGCCTGACAAGGCCAATGAGACTGCGCCTCAAAGACGATAAAATCAAGGGGTGCAGCCTCATTCCCTCATGGACACTCCTCTCTCCACCATACTGAACACTACTGAACCAAATCTCGTTTTTTTTCTCTTTCTTTTTTTCTCCCCAATTGGTAGTTAAAGTCTTGTCCCATTGCTGCAACTCCTGTACGGACTCGGGAGAGGCGAAGGTGAGAGCCATGCGTCCCCCGAAACACGACCCTGCCAAGCACTGCTTCTTGACACACTGCTCGCTTAACTCTGAAGCCAGCCGCACCAACGTGTCGGAGGAAACACAGTACAGCCGAACACAGTACAGCCGAAGTCATCTTGCAGGCTCCCAGCCCGCCACAAGGAGTCGCTAGAGCGCGATGGGACAAGGAATTCCCGGCCGGCCAAACCCTCCCCTAACTCCGGACGACGCTGGGCCAATTGTGCGCCGCCTCATTGGGTCTCCCGATCACGGCCGGCTGTGACACAGCCTGGGATCGAACCCGGGTCTGTAGTGACGCCTCAAGCACTGCGATGCAGTGCCTTAGACCGCTGCGCCACTCGGGAGGCCCATCCAAACCGGGTTTTAATACACAAATTCTACTCTTTTACTTTACTCTGTTACTTAAACCCTTTTAACTTCCGATCATTCTTACCTCACACAAATTCCCCGCCCACTTCACTCCTACCCCAAAACGGCGACCAATCCAAGCAAGAGGAAATGGATATAACAGGGAAGATGCTGTGAGCTATCCTACCAAGTTCTTCTCCTTTGTTTTACCGCGTTCCCTTCCTTCAGGGAACAGTAGTTACATTCATAACTTTACGTCCCCCCTTTCGGTCAGTTCACTTGGTACAACACAGCTATGGGGACATACAATCACTCCCCACGGCTGACCCCAGCGAATAGCAATTGAGAACGGCCCACAGCAGACCACCCATCACTCTAACCCGCATAAAATGCGGTGGCCTGGATATTGCACACAACGGCACGCTGCCTAGCAACGCTCTACTGTCCCTGAAGTAAGCACACTGCAAGGCACGGAGAGAACAGTGACATCCAAGCGATAAGACCTCACAAAAGTGTGGGCCGATGCCCGACTGGCCGCCACACAGCCTTCACTAACAGTCAATCCCGTAAAAGACACCCACGACGCCATGTACCACTAGGTAACCCCTGCCCCCTACTGTTACATACCAAGAAGATAGCCTCCATAATCCTGTGGAAGAGAGGTTGCTTATAAAGCCCTCTACCGCAGGCTGGACTAGCAAAAACAGACAAAAAGCTGGTCACGATAGCGCCTCTGACGCAACGGAGGGGCCAAACAGGAAATAGCTGGAAGGCTAAAAGACCTGTAGGACTTGTGACTTCAGCACATTGGCTGCATTAGGACGCAACGTCACCTAGACTCACCAGGGGGGCAAACTGAGTACAGAAGAGTGCACGGCTCTTGCATGGGGAAACCCAACGTGCTTAGCCTGAAGCTAAAACCAGGGGCAGTGAAGCATAAAAACTTTCAAAGTGGAGAATGAACGACCCTGCCCTAACAGTTCACTGTAGAATATTAAAACGTCCACAATAGAACCCAACTCCACCCGTGCGCTCGAGACAATATGTCAGTGGGGGTAGCCACGGATCTTCGCACAACAGGCGAATGATATCCGCAAGCCATTGTTCCCTGGGCTATCGGGGGAGACACAAGAACCAATGACCTTCAGACGCACCCTACCCAGTGCGGGCTGAATCAGCCCCAGAGGAGGAAATGGGATCCACCACAAGCCCACATTAGGAGGGAGACAGAGTCCCTCCTTGTCGTTTTGAACACCATCAGGTATTATATTTGGAGTCTCCACATCCCCCGTATCGATCTACTACGCCCCTCACTGGATGGGTGCATATCACGTTATCGAATGTCTCGGGATAAAGTCCTGTTCCCGAAGCAGAGGGTCTCACCACAGAGACAGGGCCCGTAGGCAAGAAGGGGAAACCTGAAGCACTCAGTTTAGGTGGTTAGATGCGATGTGTCCAGGTGACTGGCTAGCACCCAGCGCTGGAGTGCACGCATTTGATAAAGAATCAGGGGGTGGGGGGGGGGGAACGTTACCATGGGGATTATCATACCCAACAGACCTAGGTACTTGCGAAAACGCTGTAACCTGGCTGGAAACAGGACAGATGGCTTTTAAATACGGACACCCTCTGTAGAAACGGATAGGCGCAATTTCTAATTGTATCTAATTGTGTTCTGTTTGGATATATGTGCTGTACTTTAATCTCCAACAATATAGCACCGGACGGGCCCGTGACCAAAGCGCTTGAGTGACCATCACCACGCTGGCGAACGAACTGGTTGAGAACTCTGGTATTGATAGCTCCATAAACGGTTGGTTTGATAACGTATTTGGTAAATGGAAAACTATTGTTGTGACTATTCTGGGTGAAGTTATGGCCTCTATGGGTATACTTGTTCTTTGTGGATGTTGCCTTATTTCCTGGCTGAGTGACTGGTTTGGTGAGTACTCTTCTATGGTGGTTACTGGATTTCTGACCCTAGTAATTGTGTTTTTTGCTGTTAATGTGTTGTGCTGCTTGCATCGTCCCTTGTCTCAGGAGGTCAGTGGTAGGAGTGGTGCAGGCGTCAGGTATGATGCTGTTGTTACCGGCCCAGGATGATGCAGGTGACTCTGCTACTGACTCTGAGACCAAGCTGGATGATCCATGTTTTGCCTAGTAAAATACATACACGCATTTATTTTCAGTTCTTGCTCATTTATTACCTTACGTTTTTACTAACCACTGTGATTGTTTATTCTTCCTGATGTGAAGGTAAAGGATTCCTGGGTGGCTGGTAGCCAACTCAGTACATGTTAGGTGTAGGGGAGGAATAGAGGGTTAAAATTATTATTTTTATTTTCTATTAACATTAAATGTTGTGATTTAATTTCCATATCCTGTTATTCTTAAGGGTGATTATACTCTGTTTAGAGTGACACCATAAAATTGTTGGGTTTTATTTTTTGGATCTGTATGTGATGAATAGCTTGGAAGGAATGCATTAATGAGGAGCACTGTACTGATATGGATTGTTTCACATAACAGGCTGATAAGAACACTCTCTCTTTGTTGTCTGTGAAACTGTCCTTGAACATGGGTACATGGAGTACAGTTTTTGGGGGCTCGTCCTTTTGGGTGCTGACTGTTGTACTATTAATAAAAACGTCGATAGAATTAACTGCATACATTAGTGTTAAAATTAGGCAATTGGACACAACAAGGTTTTGAGGCGGTGCATGGCCAGTTGGCTGCAACCTCTCTCATGGCTTTCCAAAATCGTATTGCTGTCGACATGCTCCTGGCTGAAAAAGGAGGAGTATGTGCTATGTTTGGTGAACAATGTTGTACCTTTATTCCCAACAATACAGCCACAGATGGCAGTTTGATAATTGCCCTGGAAGGGTTACGAACTCTTAATGGTAAGATGAAGAGCCACTCAGGGGTGGACACTTCAATGTGGGACTCTTGGATGGATGCGTTTGGTAAATATAAAACGCTTGTTTCTTCTATACTTGTATCCATCTCAATTTTGCTGCAATTCTAGTGCTTTGTGGATGCTGTTGCATTCCATGCATACGGACGCTGACAACCAGGATTATAACCACCGCTATTGATCCACATCCTGCAGATAACGGTCAGATGTTTCCTTTGCTTGCTATTGACGATGCTGACCAAGGATATCTGGATGATGAATAGCATTTAAGCTTTTTGTCACGTCTCTTGTGAGACGTGAAGAGGGGGAATGTAAAACTTTATCTTCTGATAAAGTTTTCCCTATTTTGCCAATTGCAGCATTTAAGCTTTCTGTCACGTCTCTTGTGAGACGTGAAGAGGGGGAATGTAAAACTTTATCTTCTGATAAAGTTTTCCCTATTTTGCCAATTGCAGCATTTAAGCTTTTTGTCACGTCTCTTGTGAGACGTGAAGAGGGGGAATGTAAAACTTTATCTTCTGATAAAGTTTTCCCTATTTTGCCAATTGCACTATTAAGCTTGTGTCACGTCTTAAGTTTTCCTTCTTTACTGTTACTTGGTCACGTCTCTGGGGAGACGTGAAGAGAGGGATTTGTCGTAGTAAATATATAATGTTATAGCTTGGTCTGACTAAAATCTTGTGCATAACCCATCTTGTGTTGGGCCTTTGGATTTAATACAATGCACAAAGACTTCTATCTTGTCGGCCTTATCAGCAGGTGGCTATGGACAACACCCACGCCATAGGTCTCTCAGTTCTCCCAACTCACGAGTTATTGCTCTGAGGACATACACACACACACCCCCCACACACACACACACACACACACACATCATCATTGTTAAACATACACACACATACACACACATACACACACACACACACACACACACACACACACACACACACACACACATACACACACGCACACACACACACACACACATCATCATTGTTAAGCACACACACACACACAAAAACCCCCTTCTCTTAGGCTGAACATCTGAAGACAGAGAACCCGACTCAGAGCCAATGCAATGGAGGTGACCTCGACCAACTCATCAGGACCAATCAGAAGATCAGAACTACTAGAATCAACCTACTTTATTTTATTGTATAAAATGTCAGCACACAATGTTTAGGGGCTCGCTCTCAGATATCTCCCTACGAGGTTGACGAA